CACGTCAAAAGAAGAACGTATAATTTAGGTGATTGCTGTGTGGTCTTAGATCAGAAAGGTGACCACATCTAGTTCCGAGGTTGGCCTAACCTAACTTGATGACACGCTTATAGAGTTTTTGGCCTGAAATCTTATGTAAAGCGTCTTTCTTGCTCGGTGATCAGTCAATTCATTCTGGATCCCTTACTCCTTTCATTCTGGGCCTTTGGCCTCTTTGACATTAGGTCAAATCTGTCTGGCATCGTCCCTTCTCTTGATCTACTTCGGTTACAACTCGATAGTGATGAGGGTCAATCAAGTAGGGGATTGGGTTGAAAGGAGGGTAAAAGTCCTGCTATATACGAAAGATTTAATAGCTAACGGCCGTATGGCATCTATCCATCCATGCTGAAGTTTTTAAGCCTGGTTCGTTAAATAGAGGGGGGTTGGATTGAGTTTTTTTTCCAAGGGGAGGGAAAACGTTCGATTTGCCGCATGAAAGTTCCCCTTCCCTTTGTTTTGCTTTTGTATGATGGGTCAGGGATAAATCTAACCTAAAAAGAAAGTCGCCCATAAGTTAAACTTCATAAGAGAAGAAGGCAGGTAGCAGAGGGTGGATTGACGCGTAGATTCCAGCTGTCCCTCTTTCTTTCTTTGATCGAGTAGCTTCGACTCCACCTACCTCCAGTGCAGCTTCAAGGGGTATCACATCACTCCTAAGAAGAGACTGCCGGAGCCAAGAATAGGAGTTTGTTTTCTTTTATTTCTTTTATAAGGCGAAAGGTTCGGGCTAATGGGCCTCTTTCAATAGATTCATTTCCGCAGTCGAGTGATTTGACCGATTGATTCGAAATCGGTTCCACTTCAAATCCCTCACGATTGATTGTTGGAAGAGTTTTCACCGAAGCCGGTTACCGCCTTCCTTAACAAGCCCAGCTACTGAGGAAAGGGGCGAAGCGCTAGTTTGAATTGAAGTAGAAGTAGAGTAGAGATAGGTTCAACAAGCCCTAGCCCAGAGATTAAAGAATTTAATTAGTTAGCGAACGGCCTGAAAAAGGAGCTCTGCCATCGCCTCTTTCTTATTTAGGTAAACTTGTCCCCCAGCGAGTTATCGGCTTTGAACTCTTCCATCTACTCTTTCCGCTGACCTTCCAAGGCAAGGTAGGTAGCAGTAGCAGCTTTTTAAGGTAGTTTTCCATACCCTGCAGTAGCCGACTTATATGACTTTGCTTCAACCGGGCTAGGAATTATTCGACCTCCTTTCTTCATAGGCCAGATTCCTCTATCAATCTCCGAACGAAAAGTCCTTATCCTTACTTAACCGGCTTAGCGCTCGCTGTCCGATTTATTTTCCTGAGCTAGGTAAATCCTTCTGAATAAGCCGGTTAGTCTATCCATCTGATCTTTCGAGTCGCTCATCTGATCCTCTCTTTCCTGCTCTTGCCTCTCTGTCAGCCCTAGCCCTATCACCTAGGCTTTCTTACTTTCCTGAGCTTGCCATTCCCAGCCCCTAGAAGAATAAATACCCGTACACACCGCCCAATTCTTTTCTTGCCGAGGACCAGCGCTTCTACGACTGGGTAAGATGCTTACTTTTCCTTTACTACCACCCTTGACTCTACCGTAGCCTTGACTTTCTTTGAAGGCTGGTTTCTGGCGCAAACAAGGGGAATTCTTTAACTGCTACATCAATTCCTTACGATATCCCCGCTTCAAGGGAAAAGCACCCCGACCCTACCTCTTCTGGTTGAAGTTCCGATGAACCGGGTATTCACTCCAGAGCCAAATTGATCTGTACCACCTTCTTGATTTACTATATTTGAGCCTATTACTGGTCTCAGCCCTAGCCGTATGACTAGCCTTTGAAGGCCTAGGTTCAAATCCTGCAGTGCCAGATGCTTCTGAAATAGCTGCTTCTCCGGATCCGGGCTTTCTTACTTATCTGATAGGCGTGGGGCATAAATAAGTAGTAGGCTTTCACCGGTTTCAGCCAAGCAGTTGCTTTAAAGAGGATGCGAATCGAAACATCTGCCATGGTTCTTCTTTCTTACAGGGAGGGGAATTCACCTATAACAAAGCGCAGTTGATAGAAGAATATCTCCCCGGGAACTGCACCCTACTATACTAGACCTTATACCTGACCCTAGCTTCAAGCTAACCTGACCTAGTGGCATTTCTTCTCTTCCCTGGCTTTCAACCTCCTGTTACGCCTCGTCCATTAAGGAAGGCATTTCAGACTTTACTTGCCTCTTTCTTTTCCCTTTAGTTTTCCAATAAGGGGCGGAGATGGGGATTCTGCACGTAGTCAACTCATTCAAATCTGTAGCTTACTGCGAGCCCCATACCAAACTTTGCCTGTCCATGATTCTCTGGATTCTATCGGAAATCGTCCGTCCATCAGTCCGAAACCGAGTGAGCATCCGTATCCACGTCCGAATCCGTCACAACAGGAGTGGTTAAGCCTCAGTCCAGAGACCTTTTCAGATGCCTGCCTTCACTAAAGAAAGGAGAAGACGAAGCCCCGAAAGTATGCTTTCAGACTGACTTTTCAATAAAGAAGTTGCCTGTGTTCAGTTAGTAGGAACCGGGCGTCTCCCCCTTCAAAACTATGTGATGCCCGACCCAACCGGCTTTTGGGTGCTATTCCTTCCCCTGTAGTTGGTTGGAGCAGGAGTGAAGTTCCTAAATTAAAGAGGAGGATAAGGGATTCTTTTCAAACTGAATCTCAGATGTCGATGAACCCCAATCAATCCCTTTCGTACCATCTTTTATAGGATGAATCTGATTAACTTCCTGAACCACCAGCAGTTGACTCTGGGCCTTTAGTCCTTACTCCTTCCGAGAAACTAAAGTCGCCCCTTCTTCCACATCAACCCTCGTAAGTAGCAGAGTCCCACCAGTTCACTTCCTTGAATTCTGAGCCTACCAATAGCGGGAGAAATGTCCAGTTCAACCGAAACTACTGCTGCATATGCATAAAGGGCAAGCACCGAAACAACAAAAAGGAATGATCAAAGAGAGGCCGAAAGGTGGGCATTGTCTCATATCGTGACATAGATCTAGCTGCACAGCAAAGACTCCGCATATCTACCTACGTCAATCTTTCCCCTTGCTTTAATTTCTTTCACTGGAACCAGTTCCATTCTTCCTTCTCTCAATCAAAGGAAGGGAATGCAACCTTGATCGATCGAAAGAAGCCTCCATGGCAACAAGAAGGCCATAACCGATCCAAGTCAGCCAAGCATACCAGCCAGGGAGCCAAAAGAGAGTGAAAGCGAGCATAGGCAGGTCATTCTTTTAGATTGATGGGAGTTATAGCGTAGCTAGTGAGTGAACAATGAGGCTATGCTTTCTAAAAGGCACTGTAAGCTCATGGTCAATCCATTCATCGAACAAGATCCCTTCATCGGAATCGGAAGAGGAAGGAAAGAGGAGACGGGGACGGGTGTAATCTTCACTCACCGAAGATTATTCTCTTCACATAGATCTCGGGACAACAAAAAGACCTTCCTTCAACTACGAACTAAGCCTTTAAAGTTGAAAGAAAGGAGTAGTGAAATGAAAGAAGAAGGGAATTCCTGTATGGATAGTCCCATCCCAATCCAATACGAAAACGAGTAATGAGCCCCTTTATGTTGTGGGCAGCAGAGATTATATTCTTATTTTTCTCTTTTCTTTGCTTTGGTACCAGCCTTGATATCTCAATCTTGCAAGTCCTTTCTTTAGTGAAGGCAGGCATCGGAACGAACTCAGAACCAAGGAGAGCCACTCTTTGGTCCAATAAAGAGACAGATCAGCATCCATATAATCTATCTGAGGCAGTCTGCCGCATCAAGAAGAAGCGCACATCTTTTTTTCGAGAATCTATCCCCTTTCTTACCGGAAGTGACATAAAAGAATATCTCCATTAAAGGAAGATTGGACAATGGGGATCTTTACCTAAAGGGAGTAAAGGAGCGAAGTCTGCATTTCTTGCTAGTTCTTCTCCCAGTCTCGGACTCAGCCTTTTAGCCGATTCGCACCTTTACTCTCTTTCTCAATCGAGCCCTTTTTAGGTTTAGGGTCAGATCAATAGAGAAGTCAGGCACTCGATAGACTTAAAGGAAGGTTCCGCCCGTAAATTGATTGATCAATGTGACCATTGATAGGGGAAGCAGCAACAGAGACAGATTGAGTGCTAAAGCTTCTGTCCCGTAACGGTTGATCCGTCGGATTTTCGCCTTAAATGACCTATTGTAGGAGGTGGCCTTCCCAAGGCCAGAGGACTGGTGACAACAGTACCATAACGGTTTTTATTTTAAAGCAACACAGGTTACCGCGCGAGGTCGTGGTAGAAAGAATCTTGGCCGTGGTCGTAGTTCATTGGTGATTGTCAACGAGGGGAGTGGAAGTTTTTCAGGTAAGCCATACTTCCAAGGTGAGCCGTAAGGCGAACTATTAGAGTGGGTAAGCGCCTCTACTTTTAGTGGGTAGAGGGTTTCTGAGCTAACTGGCCATGTTGGTACCACCACAATTTTAGGAATTATTTTATTGATTGATCGACCAGTGGGATATTATCTTACGTACAGAATTAACGGGCTTAACGAAGCTCTTCGATGCGCTTCGCGTCTCTCTTTGTTCGTCCCAGTCTCTGTTCGGGTCTCTCCTTCATTTCATGGCATGGCTCTCTCTTAGAGCCTTGTACCTTTATTCAATGATATTTTTTTTAGGATGGGTCTTGCTTTCTTTCATGTTGGAATTTATCCCGCTGTAAGATATAGGAGTTCTCCCGGCTTTCTTTATGATAGTAGTGTTCTTTCTATTATTCCTTCCAGCAACAAAAAGGGAGAAGAAGGGTAAAAGCAAGAAAGGTAAGCATGTCGTGTCGACGCACGCGAAAGGCTATCAATGTACAAGTCCACTTCGATAGCCAAGCAATGAGGGAGTCTGAAGAGACTTCCAGTTCGCTGGACTTAGTTTTAGATACTCCAAGCCTCGTTATGTTAATTCTATTCTGTAACGGATTTCGATATTTAATGTACAGGTCGGTTGGGAACCTAATAAGACAAGCCAAGCGCTTAGCTTAGTTCGGCCGTTTACAAGAGTGAATACCGAAACAGACAATTCCAGATGCCCTCAGACAGATGCCACTAATAAAGTAAAGGACAACAGACAGTATTCGTGGATCGGGAAGACCAACTCTCATTCGATGAATGGAAGCGGACCGTTGATGACAGCAGGCCGGGAAGGACAGATGCTACTAATAAAGTAAAGCCGATGAGGTTTTTATTCCTTAAAAAAGCCTTTTTCCGTTGCTCGAAGCAACCACGAGCTCTAACTTAAAGTAGGTCTAGAACCACTGAGATTAAGTTCTTTTCTATTTTCTCCAGGCTATGAAAGATCTGGGACTTCGTTCCAGGAAATCCGTATATTCTTTTAGCATATCTAGTAGGGAGAGGGGGAGACAGACAGTAAGGTATGGCGAGATCACATCTCCCGTTACTATAGTCGAGCCTGTACGGGGAATAAGATATAGTGATGCCGACAATTCAATAACTAATCAGGAGAGTAACGTAACTCACTGAACCGAACCAGCCCCCACTGAACAAAACAAGCTTTAAATGGGGCTTATTCTCGCCTTACTGTAGAAAAATGGAGATTTTCTTTCTCGGCTTGACTCAACTTTCTTATACCCCTTTGAGAAGAGGAGGAATAGGAATTGAGAAAGAGATACTCGTGGGCCGCGACCACCTATGAACCTTTTTAATAACCTTTTCCTCGCGGGAATTACATGAATAAAGAATCACCCTTTCCGTATAGCATTTCATAGACCTCTCGATTAGCCTACTAATAAAGAAAGTGAAGCACTAAGGGAGTTCCGAGTTAAGCGATAGGAATTGGTCCACAGTGAGAAAGTAAAGCGAAGCAAGAGGGAAGATGCCCGGCCGAGGGGAAGTCGTAACTGGAGTTGAATGTTGAATGTCCCAAAGGATTGATTGTTCGTGGGATGGATACCCGTTAAACGTTGGGCTATAGCTATTCTTTAAAGGACAACACAACCCACCTAAGGTAAGGGTATAAGTAGGGAGAAGATAAGAAGTAAGGCTAACCAACTCGGAATCTGCCTCTGATCGAAGAGTTCTCCTATTCTATTTTTTATTCCCGCCAGCCCCCTTTGTCTGTCTGGTAAGGAGTTGTTACTGAATCTCCGCCCCTAAGCTACTTCGGTTCGGGAGAATGAATATTCTGTATTCTCGACCAAAGAGGGTATATGTAAAAATATAGAGCGATCGGGTGAGGGAATACGGAGTAACTCGACCAAAGAACAAAGAAGGGTTCAGAAGTTAAAATAGATAATAAGTGAAGAAAGGAAGTTTTATTCCTCGTTCGAGTCTTCCGATTCCGAATTGGGGGTTAAGAACTGTTAACGTAAAAAATTAAATAAGAGAAGAAGGTTCCCCGTAGACCCTTTCTAGAAGCATTAGCCGGTTGGGAAGTCAATTCCTTTAAGCAAGTCAACTCATTCACCTTTCCCTTAATCAAGTCAACTACCTTTCTCGTTGGGGCTTACAATTAACGCTTTACCTTTTCTAGCTTAGGACAAAGGCTGATGCCAGCTAAAGATTGAATCGGAAAGGCATTAGAGGGGTCGGCATTTTCCTCTTTATCTGATGATAAGTTTAGGTACTGTCGCCAACTACCCGAGTCAGCTTCAGAATTCTCTGTTGAATAGGATCCGGCATCACCCCTGAAAAAAGGCCCTTGGTTAACTGCCTCCTCCAACAAAACATATTAATTATCGTTTTGTTACAGATCCCGCGAATCAAATGATTACTGACTTGAACTAGCACTTGCTGCTATTCACTCAGCAGACGATCAGGCGAGATGCTAATTGGAGAAGGACTAACCGGACCAGCCTCCCATCACCTAGACTCATTCGACGCCTACTTCACTTCGAAATGTGAGAAAAGTTATGAAAGACCTTCAAATTGTTCATGAAAGATCGGATTTCCTTGACTGGCTCGTGAGCAACTTACTAGACAAGTTCTATTTTAATTCCCTTTCTCCTGCTGCTTCTTTGGCTGAAACCAGTCGGTCTGCTCACAGAATCCTTGATTTGCGCTCTAAAGCCGCTTTTCAATCTAAGTCTTTTGTCTATCTCTCTTTGAGACTAGGAATAAAGAGATTCGGATACTGGCTTGCTGCTAGCTGTTTTTTAAGGTACTTTTCCCGGGGAATTTTATCTTTCAAAACTGCTTGGAACTTCATTAGAAGCCAATCGAATCCTGTTGAGTGGATCTCGTTTTGACATTATCCCAGTCAAACCCCCTTGGGCTGGGTCTTGGCTCTTGTTCTTGTGCTCCCTCTCTCTTTATTCTCGCCCGGCCTTCAATGCTTTGAAACCCGCTAACACCCCCTTTCAAACATACTCTTTGCGATTCTATCTATCTCTTATGTAAGACTTAATCAAGGATGCCTCAGTCGGAGGAGAGAGACTGACTAAGTCGATTCTAAGAAGCAAGCAAGAAGGCACTCCTAAGCGCAGAAAGCAGTGAGCAATAAAAGGGCCTAGCCTTGATTCATTCTTCTTCCCAGTTCCAAAACAAAACAGGACCGGAGAATATAAATTCATTATGTTGATTAACCTTTTTCAGAGCACAGGGCAGATGGGAAGAATAGCTATATTTCGTATCCAAGCCCAAGCAGCAAGGGCGTTAAGGCTTTCTTTTCTTGCTTGAATCAACTTCCTAAACCTCTTCCTGCTCATTGACTATTGGGATAACTTGAATATGACTATGTTAAGGTTTAAGATAACCCGGGAAAGGATGGAGTTCTTTCTTTTTAGAATGTATCTCTCGTTCTTGGAGTTGCCGGTGCTTTACACTTCTTTTCTTCCTGATTCAACCTGAACTACGTGAGAGAGCTCAAAGCTAGTCGAATCCTTACTTTTTGTTATCCCGCTCCTCCACTAGGATCAGAAGTAACGGCTACTAACTTTGGATCACTTTCATCCGCATTTCTTTTTTTTCCATTAGAAGGGGCTTTCGCCTGTTCCCATTCTGATTCCGTAGGTTGAGCTTTCGCATCCAACTTAGCAGAAAAATACAGTATTCCCGCTTAGCCGATATGGACATGACATAGACCTGAAAGCAATCTTAATTAGCTCAAGAAAGAAGAAAAAGCTAATTGGAGAGTAGGTCAAATCAAAGTCTTGAAGCTGACTGAGAAAGCTGGAATGCTAGAACTGATAGGGCTGCTGGAAGGCTAAGGTTCCGAATGGAAGGAATCGAAAGCATTGAAACCGGCATTGACCACTTCACATTACAAGACTTGACGTAGACTGCTGGATTACTACAAGATAAAGCAGTGACCCAGACTCAGACGATCGCAAAATCCCTATATTTTGACTAGATAGCAGATTCAATCGTCTTTTGTCCTAGCCGATGCCATCCTAAGATTAAGGAAGGATCCCTATAGTCATATGACTTTTTATAAAACCTTTTTACTCGGAAGGAAATTTGTAGACAACAAATTGAGACTTTGCCGAAAAAGTACCTCAATAGATCAAAGGAAGCCTCAGCTCAGGATCACGAAAACGCCAATAGCGCTTCCCTTGCTTCATCGGTTGGATTGGAAAAGCCAACTTGACCGCCGGCGCGGAAACAAAGAGAATCGAAAGACAATCGCACCAAGAGGACGGACTTCTTTTTTATTGGCTGGCGACATCTGGCCACATTCTTGATTATCAATAACGGGGATCCAATCCCAATCCATGTGATGAAACTAGCCATTAGCGGAGCTACGGTCTATAAGACTTATTCTCCTAAAGCACGTCTATCTATGCATCTCTAACAACTTATTTTGCGATATACTTCTTAATTAAAATAAAAATAACGGGGTAGCTGCGAGAAAATCATAGCTCGTTTAGGGCTTAGGCTTGTGGCTACTCCTTGTGGATACGACATTCCATTGCCTAACAGGCCGGCTTCTATCAAAATAGGATGGCCTCTATCAACACCTGCTTACGCTGCTAAGGTTCCTAATATTTATACGAAAGTCTTTATGGAAATGACTTTCTTAATGAAAATCTGATCAAGCCTTCCTTCCCTTACTATATGGATTTATCAGCAGACAGACCTTCAGTCAAGGTCCTGGATTCTGAGGGCTCTCTTGAGACTTGGTTATGTAACTCACAATATACGTCTAATAATGCCCCTTATTACTGGTGGAAGATCCTATTCCACGTTCTCATCTTAACTATTATTTTATAGACCAGGATTGAAATCGCTCTTTCTATTCTTACTACGCGAGGGGAAAGGCTCATGCTACTCTTCCTGTCATATTGGATTCTTATGAAGCTTATGTCAATCTAGTCTGCGGTGAAGGCTATCAAAGTTCTGTCTTCAGGCATCCCCGGTTCCTTAGGAAGTCAGTCTGGTCGCATGACCTTAGGTCGCTTATCATGCGATTTCATTTCTTCACGTTCACCAGACTAGCAATTTCTTTCTCTTTGTCTGTCACAGGGAAAAGAACAGGGATGGGAGCGGGAAGAAGTTCTCACTGCTGCTGCTATCAGAGAATCGAATCGGGAATAAGATTTAGGGGACCCCTACTGTTTAGTATCAGGTGGTACTTTAGGTGATTAAGCCGATTCCCCGGCAAACTGATGCATCTAAGGTGGAAAGTGCTTGATATGATTCTAAGAGCCCTGTCAAGGCGGCTAATAGTAATTTCAGTATCCGATTGATTTCCAGTTACTGGTACTATTGCTGATTCCCCAGTGGGGTAGGAAGGGAAAGGACTGAACCATCATCTAGAAATGCTGCCCGGGAATAGGATGTTGTATCCGATTTAAAGTAGGGTGTTGGCACTTATGCTTCTCGTACCAGTTGGAAGAGATTCCCCGGCAGTTGGGGCACCAGCAGCTATGGCATATCCCACAGCTGCTATAAGAGAATCTTAAGCTGGCATTCAAAGGTAAGGTGGAAGAGCTCCTTCTTAGCTGCGTACTGAAGCGGATTAGCACAAATGTGATTCTATTCATTCTGCCCGGGTCGATGTAATTGATAAAGTTGGAACAGCAGCAGATTACCCGGCAGCAGCTAGAGTTGGAACTTCTGGAATGGACTGATACCCGTAGAGTGACACGATAACCGGAATCTATCAATTCCCTTTCTAGTACCAATAGGAACATCAGCGGATTTGAGCTAAAGAATGAAGCGTCCGCAAGGCTAAAGCAAAAGTGAGTTGGAGCGGTACTAGTTGATCTATCAGTAACGAATTAAGATGATGGGGCGACCCTTACTGTTAGGGCTAATGTCTCACTTCCTATGGTATCATTCAGTGCCTGGTAATAGTTCCTTTCCTGTAGTTCCTTAAGGATAACCAAGATCTCAAAAAGGGCCGCAGATGAAGATTTTTCTGATTCTATTAAAGTACCAGTGGGAAGAGCAGCTTCTAAGGTTGGAAAGGAAAGCGACTACCGCAGTTGAAGCCGTTAAGTACCCGGGAGTTGGAAGAGTAGCTTCAATAGCAGCGTCGCCTTAATCGCTTCTTCCTTCGACCGCTAAGGCTGCTAGGCATACTGCAATACCAGGACCGAAGAGTCATACTACTACGGGAAGGGCAGTTCCTTTTGATGCTGTATACGGGAAAGAGACAGGTACCGAATCCCTATGCCAGTGATTGTACGGGAAGGTAAGGCGCACTTAGGCAGCTACTGAAGCTTCTTATCTCTCAGTAGCGTACCAAGAGGTTTTGTAGCAGTTGTGCCCGGTAGGAAGAGAAGCGGATTAGCTGATTGATGGTACTAAAGATGATTACCCGGGAGGAAAAGCTGTTAGACTTAGACCCGTGCTTTGCCACCGGAACTAATGCTGATAGAGTTGGAACAGAAACTCCTAGAATCGCAACTTAAGCTGCTAAGCTATAAGAGGTTAACGCTGGTACCATAGTGAATCAATTGTGTGTGTGCCCGGGAGACAGGTAAGGTATAGACCAGTGCTCGATAACCGGCGATGATAAGGTTTAGGAACGAACTCTAGTGCCAGTTGTAGAATATCTTAGTTGTTAACAAATGCCATCCGATTATCGTATATCAGACGTTTAAGTGCCCGAAACCTATATAAGACCTTCCCGGGAAATAGCAATAAGGGGTTAGAATACTAGTACTTGTTGAGACCAAGGGTCGATGTAATTGAGAGATAAGAACTTCCTTTAAGGTCAGCTCCAGGTAAGAACTGACTTTCTGACCTTTATACACCTACTGTAAGAAAGAGATAAGATAAAGAACTCTAGTAGCTTAGGACAGTAAGAGATAAGATAAGAATTCCCTAAGGCGGCATCAAAGCACAACAGCTTTCGGCTTATCGGTATCCATAATTCGGTTATCAGGTTTAAAATCTTATATTTCTATTCGATCGGTACTTATATCTCCATGAACAAGCCCAAGCCCTTATCCGGCGGTTAGAAGGTTGCCTTAATGCTTAAGGTTTATTGGTACTGCTGTGATCTAGTACTGTACTATTAACTGGAACTTTCCAATTACAGTAGGGCCTCGGTACTGAAAGCGGTACTGCTAGACCAAAGCACAAGTACTCTAATATAGGAGAGTGCCGCCCGCCTAGTACAATCAATATCTTCTTTCTCGTACCAGTAGGGTAGGAAGGGAAGCCACTATCGCCCGACCCGGCAGCTTCTAGATGAAGCTGCTAATCTCCGATAAAGCCTTTAGCTCACCCCGGCCCGTACCTAAACTATTTAGAAGGGCCGTACTTTGACTTTTAGGGCTAAGGTGGTACTGAAGCAGCTAAGCTATCATCGGTTAACGCTTTATGTGCCCTATAAAGGTATACGGGAGGGTAAGCCCTTTCAAAGCTTTTCTTTGAAGCGGAGACTATTGGTAGTGAGAGAAATGTCATCTAAAGAAAGGCAGGTGCCATCCCCGCTGATTAAAGGAAAAACTCTTCGCTGGGAACGCTCTTCTCCCTCTAGCTACTATTCTCCGGGCTTAGGAAAGATTATTATATAAAATAGCCCGCGCTAGGCCTCTGATCTTTTAATAATTTCCTGTGCTAAACATATGGGCCCAGTTGCCATTTGTCCGTAGGATTATGGCCTGAAAGGTGCCTTTCCATCGGAATCGGAAGGAAGACAACCGAAGAAAAGGAAAGGACAGGGGAAGATGCAGCGATAGCAGGACTCTTTTTCCCTAGATGATTCAATGATAGAAGTTGTATCCTATACTGAAGCCGACTCCGCGGCAGAAGTTTGATCATCTACAGCATCTGATTCCGGTGAAGCTAAAATAAAGCTATAGGTAAGTAAAGAAGGCCTTACAGTTTAAGTGAAGGATCAGTGCCCTTCCCGTTTTCTATTACTTACTTTTCTGCTTACTATTTAGAATGTCGAGTACCGTCCCTCCTCTAGGGAAGGAAGCCTTCAATCTAACTAAACTAAAGGGGCAAGCCCGGAAGCTTTGAAGTTGAAGCTAAGCTTTTATACCGAATCGTCTTCGTCTTATCGTCTTCTTTGTAAGCGAAAAGTTCAGTCTCAAGGAAGTATGAGAATGTAGTAACTAAGATAGTGAAGTTAGCTCAATCAGTGTCAGTCAAGTCTGAGCAAGAAGCACTTAGAGCAAGCGATGGATCCGCTGTCGTTGTTGCAATAGAAGTCTTTGTAGCAGTGGAAGAAATAGGAGTTCGGGATCGGTAATCTTTCCTGTTGATGCCGTAAAGGATGTTAGACTTTACTTAGTAGGCGGACCACATTCAATGATGAAATTGATTGATTCAAAGCCAAGCTCGAAGGAAGAACGGGATTATCCCGAAAGAAGAAAACCTGACAGGGCAGGATCGGACGATGCGCGGTACCCGTTTAGAAAGGAATTTGATTCAACGTCAAAAGAATATCATTTATATAGACATTTATATAGAATAGAATATGGAATTCGCATTCTTGATGACAAGGAAAGAAAAGTTCAATAATAGTAAGGGTAGGATGGTCTCAATGAGCTCCTAGATTTAGCCAAAAGAGCCCCGCCCCAATAGGCTTTATCTTGAATCCCGGGAGTCCAAAGTATGTTAGATAGAGGGACGGTACATAGGGAAATACTTCTGCGAATGATGCAGCTGCTCTATACGCTGCTTTTGGAGTGGATGCAGTAAAGGTGTCTCGGGGTACGGCTGGCCGTTTAAAAGGAAAGCGAGTCAAGGTAGAAGTTGAACAAGTGCAGTACCAGAACTAGTCTTATTTATATACGAAATTTCGTTTTGATTCCATTCTGGTTTAGCTAGAAAAATATGTTATCTAACAAGTAGTAGAACAAGGGAACAAGAGAATCTTGCTCTAAGTAGACGGAAAGGCAAACGACTACCACAATGAAACGCAGCGCAGGAGATTATGATGGAGAGGAAACCATCATGACATATGCCGTGACCGGGGAAGGGGAACGAACCGACCACCACCCATCCGCCGGTCCAGGAAGCGCTTCTCCTACAAAGAAAAAAAGTATAACAAGTGCTCTATCCGCCGCTGTCTTTGTTGCAACAAACAATCTTCTATTTCCGAGATAGATAGAAGAAAGAAGGTAGTTTAGTCGGGTAATCAAGTTCTGTAAATCCCTACTAATTCCAAAACTATCCTTTTTTTGACCATCTATATAAAATTTTAAAGTTATCACAATGAAAGTGGGATAGTGCGCCTTAAAGAAGTAAGGAATAGAGGAAGTACCTTAACTACTGGAGTCTCAAGGTTTAATCATAACAGGTGGGGAACTAGAACTAGCTGTAGTAGCAGTATAGGACTCATAACCACTAAAGAAATCAAAGCTAGTAAATAGGAGTCATAACTAGTTCAGTCTCAAGGAAGTCGGGATAAGTGCTTTTGCTTTCGAAAGTATTCTCAGTTCTGTTGAAGTCAGTTGGTGGAGAGACAGAGTGGGATAGAATAAGTAGAACAAGGTAGCTGCAGTTTGTCCTATATCCGAGGAGTTGAATAAAGGATTGTAGCAGGAAAGGCAGCTAACTCATCAACAACAAGGTAAGGAGAGGAGGTAGTTTCAGTCAAGGAAGTTAGATAGAACAGGTTTGGATATGAGCTAAGGTGGGAGGAAAGCTTATTCTCATTCTTTCTGCGGAGTTCTGTTTCAACTAGAGATAAAACCCGGAGATATACCTTCAAGTAAGTGCCTTCGTATTCTATTTATTAGGTTTCAGAATCTGGTTTGGTTCTTTCTGTCAGGAGGGAAGAAAGTTAAGTCTTTACCTGAACTATTGGATATTCGTATTGACAGAACCTTCTTTAACGCTCCCACTTTAGCTAGCTTATTCTCATTCTTTCTCAGTATGGGATGTTAGGTTGAGTATATCCGTATCGAACTAAAAACAATTAATGTCGAATTCTTCTATTTATTTATTCTCTGTCTCTGTTTTGTCTTTCGAGTATTCATATTCTCTAGTTAGTTATCCAGAAGTATCCCCTTCTTTTCTGGTAGCTGCAGCATTATCAGTTGAAGTCAAGTCTGAGGAACAAGCACAAGGGGATGAGGTAGCTGCTCTATCCGCGGTCTTTGCTTGAAAATAAGCTTAAGCTGGGTTAGCTGTAGAAGTCTTTGTCGCTGTAGTTGCAGGTGTCTCAAGTTCTGTACCTTACCTTAATTATTCGGGACCTAATTCATCTAAGAAATATCTTTGGGATAAGGCAGTTGAAGTCAAGACAGCTAGAGTAGTAGTCGCAGTCAGGGGAATCATAACTCAGTGGAGTAAGGTAGCTCAAATCACTGGATTCATCTCATGCCCGCCTGAAAGCAAGGCTGTTTAGAGATAGAATTCCTTAATTATTGGTTGCTGTTCTTTCTCTAATTATTCTCCGGGAGTTGTTGCAATTTCCTTCTTTATCGGATAGTTAAGTATGTTCAGTTTCAACAACTGGGAATGAGTCTCCTCTATCCTTAGAGGAAGAGAGAAAGCTAGCTACACTTCCCCTTATATGAATGAGTATCTTCTTATCACGATAGACTGAGAACTCATATAACCTATTATTCCTTATTAGGGGTTTAAACGTGTACTTTGAATTAGTAGATAAATTTTAATTAATAATATACCATCAAAACGTGAGAAATTGTGGAAGTAGATTGTTTTTATTGATTCCCTTTTCCTAGCAATGAATGCTATACGGTCTATAAAGTAAGACAACATCTTATTGCTCCTTTTTTGGATTGTTTCATAGAGAAAGAATGGATAATCTTCACTGTAATAAGTTTCTATACTTTTGCACCTATCTGAAGACATAACATCATCAGGTTCTACCACTAAAAACCCTGCTGCATAGGGTACATGAATATCGTTTATGAGTACTGTCTCTATATCGGCTACAAGAAAGGGTTTCCTTTCCTTACTAGTGGGTTCGAGTGATGTTATATACTTTAGGTACTTATGTTTACGGGTTTCTATCTTTATAGCCTCTCTATGTTCCACCAATTCATAACTGAGAAGGTTAGCTATATGATCATTAGATAATGAACGTGGTTGATTTGATTTCATATCTAATACATAGATTCGAATATATATGCTTGTTATCAATGATTGATCGTACTCCTTTTGTTGCCTTCAGCCTCACATAGTGATCCACTAAACTATATACAGGTAAATCTTTACCTCCTTCCCTTCATCGGAATCGGAATATTATTGCTTTACTTAGAGCAACAAAAAGGGGACTTCTCCGTTTGGTATTTTCATTACATAATGAATTGTAAACTTACCATAATCGGGGGTATGCGTAATTGATTAATAGGGACATCACTATTGAGACTATCTCTGATATGTTACAACATTTCAAATAAGGCTTTGACAGATTGACTCTAGCTATTCTAAGTCCTGGATAGGGAGAAAGACATGTTTCCTGATAAGATCTTTTCATTTTCCCATGAGCAGGAAATTGTCTTTTCAAATGAAGAATCATCTCACTCTGTAGTGACTACTACGTGACTCTGTAGCCGCCTTTCACCCCAATCAAAACCAAGCCTAACCCGCCGTCAAAGACCCTACCTCATCATAGATAGGGCTAAGGCAATGGGAATTTGAAATTAGGAAAGAGCCGGGCAATTTATCTTAATTTCCCCTAAAGAGTCCGGACAAGAGCTCCGAAAGTGAATCATCCCCGGATTTGAGGAAGGAGCGAGCTTTGACCGCACTAAATAATTTGTTGTAAAGGCTGCTCATCATACTAGTCTTCCAATTCCTTGGACTCCATTGGCTCCTTCTTCACAATCTCTTGTTGGTGGCATTCAAGCTTCTGGGACCCTTACCCCAACGTCTGCTTTGAAACCCAGTGAGACTTCTCAAGCACCTCAGATCAAGAGCATGGGGATCAATCCACTTTAAGAGGCGGGACTCTTTAAGAATAGGCGATCCAGTACCATTCCACGAAGCGAACACCCACTAAGTAGCACTTCGTAACCCGCCTTCACCGCGTATCCTCAGAGCAGTCGTCTAGTCTAACCTCTGCGCCCGAAAGGCCTTCCCCTCTCCAACGCTACAAAGTAGTTGAACCTTGGAACCCCGGAATGAATATTCATAAAAGGCTGAAGGGGCGATCAACAGGTCGACATGGGAATGGATAGGATTGGCAAATATTCTATAGAATAATCGCACTTCTTCCGATTCCTCTTCCGATTCCGATTCCGATTCTTCATGCGAACTCGCGGGTAGGTTTATTAGATTAGGGGCAAAACAGGCCTTCTCAGAGGTCTTCTCAAAAGCTGAGCATGACGTTCTTCTTGTCCTGACCAAAAACCGGTACATAGGAAGCCATAGGAGCTGCATGCTACTGGTAGGGCAAAGGCTGTGTGCAGCGCGCAGCTAAGTCACGCAACGGCTAACGGCTAGAGCATTCTTTCCTGACCATTTCTATCATCGGACCATTTCTGAGGGTCTTCTCATACGAGATTTCTTCTTCTCCTGAGGCTTCGGAAGCAAAGGAAACCACCAGTACCGCCAGTCCAGTACCACGTCTTCTACTTAGCAAGGATCGGAGGCAGCCCCGAAGCAAGAAAGCATTGGGCGATCGTCCTCATCATTGCACCCGGGACTCATGGATTGGCAGTTGCACGGGTAGAGCAGGTCAACAGCCGACATTGGATTTCCCGAGATTTTACTATTCTATAGAAGAATAGCACGAGAACCTAGCCTAGCCTCTAGGGTGAGAGACTCCAACATGCCGAATCACTGATCAAGAAAAAAATAGAATTAACATTTCTTTAAATAAGATAAAAGATGGTGGAGAAATCTCGTATGATAAGCAAGACAATTCTGATTGGAAGGCCTAAGGAATCTCCGCATTGGCCAGCTCGATTGCAGGAATGCGCAATGAAAGGTCCTCTATTTAAGAGGCTAGAAAAGGCGAGGCAAGGGGTTCAACAATTGCCCCTTCTCCCCGGAACCGGGCAAAAATACTGAATCCGCACTCCTTTAAAGATCAGTGACCCCGCCTTCCACTCTGCCACGGCTCTATTCTATCCATGCTTTCTTTGATCGTACTCCAAGACGACCAGGAACTCCTCAGGAAATCTCTAGGTGTTAAGAGCAGATCTTTTGGCTGGCTGTCGGAGTGAATCTCAGGGATTGAATGATTTAATTCGGCATAGGTGAAGAAGGAGGAAGATTATCCATATCTTGCACCGAACCCCAGATCGGGTTGATCGGGCACCGCTCTTACTTGACGGATTCCGTATTCGCCTTTCTCGTTCGTACCCTGGCCATAACCATACCTTCACCCTTCTTCTCCCCCGTGTTCTAACATGAATCGTTACACTCTGCCATGGCTCTATCCATGCTTTTATCGTACCATTCCTTAGCAACAGAGGAAAAAGAAAAGACTTGAATGAGTTCTGGTCGATGAAAATTAGGACTTCCTCTGAGGTCTTGCTAAGGAATACGATCAAGAAATAGCGTAAGAGAAGAAGAAATGGCTCCTCAAAGCGCAACATCTGAATGACTGGATTGGATCTATCGTAGGAAGAAAGGACCCCGGTAATTGAATAAGGAATAAGAGTAGTAGCTTTCTTCCTATTCCTAAGAATAGCTCCTGCCTATTACTGCTCGTAAGACAGAATACGCAAGGGTTGGAAGGCAAGACTCATGGAGTAAGGCAAATCATTCTCGTAGGGCAGGCAGTCATTTCAGGTCTCGAAGGTACCTTATAAAGGCATCATCTAGTAGGGCATACGTTCCCCCATCCGTATCTATCATATGTGTTGGGTAAAGAGCTAAGACTATGCCTGGGCTACCTCAAGGTCAGGAAGAAAGGCATAAGGAGTAAGCAGCTTTTGCTGAAGAATGGCAAGAGACCTTCTAGAGTATAGGCAATTTTTCTTATCCAGTAAAGTAAAGAAAGTAAGTTCGCTAGCTGTCCAAGGGGCAAAGAGTAGCATTCCGGTCTGGTCTCTCTTGAAAGCAATCAAGCGTGAGAAGCAGGAGCCGTCCAATCATCACGTTGTTCAAGGAAGGAAGATCTATCAAGTACAAGTGCACATAGGAGCAAAAGGTATCCCTGCCAATCTTTCTTTGCATCACAATGAGTAGGTCAAAACCTTTTTCAAAGGTATAAAATAAAACAGTAGACCTTTAGGAGAGGAAGGACTAGCCCAGAACCTATTATTGACCTGGCCGAACCCTAACTACCATCAAAAGGAAGTAAGATGTCCGCCTTTTAAGCAGCTCTTTCGAGACAAGTCTCAGATCTTTAAAGGAATTAAACTTGAACTACTAGCCCTGGGACGGGGGAAAAATATTCCCATCTCCCTTACCGGACAGAAAGGAAGGAAGGCATGTGAGGTCTGGTTTTTGAGCAGGGAAAGGTGGGAACGTTAGAAGACTAGATAGGGATTAGGGCGTTAAGCTTAAGAAAAAGTAGCTGATACGAATAAGACCCTCCGCGTCTGGTACTACACCTGCAGCAAGCACATTCACTCGCTAGCACTTAGTCCTCATCTCAAAGAAAGAAGGAAATGAGCCTATAGATAGATATAGCCGGGGCTCCACCACGGATTCCCTTCGGGCCGACTAGGGGGAATTTATCTAAGGAGGGCATCTACAAAGAAAGCATGGCCGATGGGGGACGACTAGACCTCAAAGATGAAGATAAGACCTTAACCCGCAGCAAACATAAGGAAATGGATTTAAAAATCAACGTGGTGTCTTAGGATCTCTTTTCAAAGCTAGAAAGAAGGAAATTTAGGGTCTCTCATATTATATTTTCTCGGTGAACATAGATTCAGTCGGTACAGGTTATTGATGTATATAATACGTCCTGACCTGGGCTACCTCAAGGTCAAGGGCCGGACTTATGGATTGGACATCCTTCCAAAATACAACAAAGGTTTCAGCCAGCCTTATAGAGATGATACCAAACGGGACTCATGGTGTTTAGGTTGAGAATCAAAAAAGGTGTTCGTAAGTAGCTTAGCGCAAGGTATTCAAGGAAATGAAAAACAAAAAATGTGTGTTACGCGGGTATTTTAATATGGATTTCTTTATTATGTTGATCTATCAAGTCTATATGGCAGAAAATCCGCCTTTCCCCTTGATTTCTGACTTCGATGTCGGGGTTTTTATGGATAGAATGGAGAGTATGGGTTATAATGAATGTGATGTTCCTGATAATCAGCTATATGACCCTATAATGGAGCCGCTGATTAGATCAGCGTTGGCACACCTTCTTTATATAGAAAAAAAGAGTCTTGAAGGCCCAAACCACAGCAAGGCATTCCATCCTAATTTATTTAAATTAAATTTTATGGAATATTTGATTGCTTCCAAGGGAACTGTAACATTTTGCGCATTTAGAATATTTGAATTCAAACCCTGCTCGGCTTCTATGGATAAAAGTAAACTCATATTGAAGGTAGAGGCATTGATACCGAATCCTACTATTAGAAGACTATTGGCTATCTTTATAAACAATCTTAAAATTGATAAAGAAGAGGATCCTATAGACAAGATTGTAGGCTCTGTTCAATCTAAAAAGAAAGCAGCCAAAGGTCGGGATTATCTTTATTATATTCTCATGGATTTGTATTTAGAAGAATTTGATCCTTTTATCATCGATGTGTTGCTAAAATCCGATCTAAAGTGTATCTGGGAAAGATGCCTAGACACAGCCTTTCTTGGTTTTTCTGACGAAAAGAGACCGTACAATTTGAAGGATATATTGCAGCTACAGGCTTTACTTCCTGCATGGGGTCTTACTGCCAATGTACGGTCTTGCATCAAGGGAGGGCGAGTTATTAGACCATGGAATGGTAAACTCTATTTAAATTGTGAAGGACGTCTTCAATGGGTCAGGCCTGAAAGTACCATCGTATAGATGTAAAATCCGGGGCTATATATATGAAAAGGGGGCTAATTAGGACGTTGGTGCTTGGTCTTTGAGAAGTGGAATGACTCTTGTATCGTATTCATAGAGGTGTTATCTGAAAAGCTTAAGTGGGGGCTGGTCGTACGGAGAGCCAGAAGCGCAGGGAGATAGGGCGGGCCTCCCGCGCACCAATTTTCATTAAGGTGCTTATTCGTCAGGTTTTGGTTTAGGGTCTATTTTATTCGGCCTTTTATTGTATAGCTGTTGGTTTGTTATCGATTGTGTTTTATCTTCCGTAGTTAGCTGGCCGACTGATTGATCTTTATTCCTAAATAGTTCATGCTTTAAAATAGCAGTAGCATCTTCACTTCCCAAGTCAATTATATCTATTGGCTGCGTGTCTACCCAGTAATTTTTTGAATCATAGACATACTTTCTTTTGTGACTCACGGGGAGCCCTAGTTTTAGGGTATAATCTTTTTTTAGAATATTGTTTTTCTTCCAATCTATTTAAAAATTGGCTGAAATGGATATTTCATCCATTAGTTTTAAATTGTCTAATATCTTTTTAAACCAGTCTGATGTAACAACATTTTTAGCAAGACCTTTATGTCGAATTATAGTTTTATCATCTTCTAGTTCTAACATATAAGACTTTGGAGCTAAGAAGATTCCATTCTGGACTTTACATTCCAGTTTAAACTTACCCAGATCCACGGAAGAAATTAAATCGTCAGACAAAGGATTTCCTAGAAATATAGAGTCTGTATCGGTGTAATAACAGTCGGATCTGGAAATAAAAGGATACATGTAAATACGAGCACAAGCAGTTATAGCAGCTGACAATTGAACGGCCGACATCTTAGGAGCCGTCCACTCTGCGTCGTCAGATCCTGTACTATTTACAATATAATTTACAATGTAATAATAATCGTTAAGCTTCTCTGCAGATTGAAAGTTATCCGTCTTCATAAATTCTTCATATTTTTTTTATTGCAGATCTCTGTTACTATACTTTCAGGATTCATACCAAATCTACCATAAAGAGAATTCATAAGAAGCTTGTATATAAATGTCATAGAACCATCGCCTGCTTTCTTTGCTTCTAGTCTGCTTTCATAAAGGTGTGATATAAAGTCTTCGAAAGGACTAGACTTCTTCTCAAATAAATACCCTCTAAGAGGGATAATATCGTAACCCAAATCGCGTGCAAACTTCAACTCTTCGCTATAAAAGACTCCTATGAATTTACCAGTAGGAAAGATTAAAGTACCGTTTTTATCCTTATAGGGCAAGAATGGTTTTGATATATTATTAGGACATACTACGTAAGCTTCAATAAAGCCAAACAGGCTATCTAATTCCTTACCTTCAAAATTTCTATGCCAGACAGGGACACCACATGGCATAGGATACTCTTTCATAATGAACGGGTAAAGGGAGTTGACGTCATAATAGAAAAGATTCTCGCCTTTGGGTTTAAAGACATCAGAACGACCTCCATAATACCCACGCCTAATAAATGTATCTTGGTTTTTAGTAGGTATATGTATGGGAAAGTTTTCATCATCCAAAAATTTAATTCTGAAGATTTTCATGGAAAGCGAGGAAATTGTCATTACATCTTCAATATCAATACGATACTTGGAACTATAAATCTTTTGTGCCTTCAACATCACACCCCCTAATATAAGGATGTCTTGTCGAAGATAAGTTATCAAATTATCACCATGATCTAGGATATTAGACGCATTCAAATCTTCATGTGGAATAGAGCCCTTGGCGCCTAATTCAGGACATAAGGTCTTAGCTAATGTATTAAGATCGTTAGGGAGCATTGTTAGTGAATCTCTATAACGTACGAGGAGCTTATTCCCCCGATATACTTTCAACTCATAAAGCTTATGATTTCTCAACAACGTCTTTCTTTTATAGTTTTTACTGTGTTCGGCATAATATTTAAGAATTAAAATACCATCAAATCGGGAGAAATTGTGGAAGTAAACGGTTCTTATCATAGAATCCTTTGCTATATCTATTTCTAAGTCGGTTATAAAATTAAACAACATCTTTTTACTTCTATCCTCAAAGGAGTTATATAAAGGAATGTTGTTTTCGCTGAAAAATCTTTTTATAGAATATTTAGGTATAGAAGTTAGATCGTCCTCGGGATGAACCGCCAAGTAACCGGCCGCATAAGGAACGTGAACCCTTTCCTCTATTTTTCATTTGTATTTGGATTTGTTATCTCTTTGTTTACTATTATTGTCTCTATATCAGCTACAATGAAAGGACGACGCTCTTTCATAGAACTTTTGATTGAGTTTATTTTACTGCTAATACGACTTGTTTTAAACTTAAGCGATTTAACATCTGGTAGATCGCCTTCAACCTTATTAGAATCCATAGCATTTATTATTAGGCCAATCATATCTGATATCTTAGGAAAATCTATTATTTTATAATCATCCTTAGCTTCATAATATATATGAATAAAGACGCCTTTAATCACAGCTGAGTCATATTTTTCACCATATAACTTAACACTTCGTTCTATAATAGAATATATCATATTTTTATTAATTTTATTTCCTAGAGCGTCATACAAAGGAATAGCCCTGTCTAAAGTGATAGTTATATCATAGGCAGCGGGTAATTTAATTATATAACCCAAAGTAATTTTTATATAATTAGAATCTATGTGGTAGGCGTATTGTTCTAGTAATTGTAAAAAGGCTAAGATTAGAACTTCAAACTCATTAACTGTAGGATAGGGCTCTATAAAGTTAGTACTCGCATGAATACCCCCCGGATACATAGTCTTATATTTAACATCATAAATACGACTTTGTAAACTTTTCCAATAATCAATATAATAATAATTGGAGAAAGAAGAAGAAGAAGAAGAAGAAGATCTAACACTCTGCTCATCTGTGGTGCTATTGCATAAGTTTCTTTCCCATGTTTTCTTTCTAGTCCCCCATAGGTGCCTGTTATGCTTGCTATAACTCCCAATATAACACCCCTTAACGCCACAAGTCCTTATATAGCATCTCTGCACGCAATTATTCAATAAATTCCTAAGTAGACCCTCTCCGTTAGTTAGCCTCGTTTTAAGGGTGAGGCCTCTCCCTTTCATCATGGATTTTGGAATCATGATAGTTTGTGTTTTCGGTCATCTCTAGAAATCCCCCTCCTTTTATTGCCCTATTAATTAAACGAACTCGGTCACTTACGACCCTAACCCCCACTATAAGTATTGCTGATCCCTCTCCTCCGGAGTTTACGCAACTTACCGCACCTGTTTCCCTCTATAAGGTCGGCAGAAACCCTTGTTGTATTTTGGACATCCTTCCAAATGTGAGCGAGAGACTAAGGGGGTTGAAGGAGTGTAATGGTTGAGATCTAACTGAGAGTGGGTGAATAGACCTCGCTCTAGGACCCATCATTGCACTCATGCACTCTTCATTTTTTCTCGAGGGCCAGTGAGGGGTCCGTCCTCTTTTATCCCTTTCTACGTCGACCAGTAAGGGTGATCCACGAGAGGATGAAGGGGGTCTAGCCATCCCTCTTTTTTATCCATTTTTGTAGTCTCGCTCTAAGTTAGAAATGAGAGTCGCTTGACCATAGCGTGGGATTCGGATAAATGGATTGTGGGTCCTATGCTATGAAGGGCTCAGCATGCCGGTCAGACATTCTCACACCCGGATACTTACAACTTATAGAACTAGATGGAGCGAGCTTTATCTGGTCTCAGTTTAGCTGAAGCCTCTATGTAGATGTAGGCCCATCAAAAGTTTTGAATCGGGTTCAGCTCAGCAAGTCTAGAATGGACCATCAACAGCTAACTCGATGGGTGGGAAATGGGAAAGACATAATGAATTTCCTTTTTGCCTGGTATTGAATCAATGGCTAATGCTATGTCCGGACCGCCTTTCGCTTAGTTGTCCTTTCTACTATCACTTCCTTTAGCAGTTCCGGAACATCTATAGTATGCTTTAATGTCGGCAATTTGATCTGCGACACTTGTACCCCCCGCTTGCCAAAAAGCTATAGTCAACTTAACTTTCACTTCACTCGAAAAAGGAATTCTGCATTGAACTTAAGTTTCAGTTCCTTCTTTCTGATCCGCCCTAAGGTGCTCCCTCTATCTCCGCACTATAGGACAGGAAGGTTATCTCTTCTTAGGTGCTGGCTTTCGCTTTCCCATAACAAAAGAACAAGGATTTTGACGACCGGCCCTAGAGTACCGCAAGGGGAAAATAGGGAAAGATATTCTAATTCGCTGTAGGTGGAAGCCAAGGACCAATGGAATACATTCTATGTCGCTCGCCCTGCTTTCTAACCCAAAGTCAAGTGTACGCCGGGCAGGAAGTCGAATGGTGCAGGTGGATGTACTTATAGTATAACTGTCGTTGGAAGGGACTTCTCGTACTTCAGGCACTCCAGAGGTTAGTTTTTAAAAGAGTGAGAACATGTGAAAGAACAAATAAAATTAGGAATGGAAGGTGGGTGCCCTCTATATTGGGGGTTGATTCTAGCTAAAGCTAAAATATCTAAAACGAATAGGTAAGGGAACTGCATCTTTCACTAATGTACCAACTGTCGTGAGTTGGGCGGAGGACCTGGGGCAGTCGCTACGGAATAGACTTGAAACCGAGCGGGAACATGGCTGGGAGTAGCTTTTAACAGTGCTGGTCTACCCCGATTTACCCATTGAGAGGGACTGAAAGCCTTGGTTTCGCCACCCCTATTTCATTAGTAGAGCTCTATTGAGAAAGACCTTGGAATTGGCGGATAGCGATACGAGATAAGGCTTTTCTTCCTTAGATCACACCTTCTTCTTTCTCTCCGTACCCTGGCAGGCTTCATCCAACTCTCTCTTCCTCTTCAACCGGATCTTGACCACCCCAACAAAGCACTGCTTTGTTGGGATTGTCTTGCTGGAAAACAGACTTGAAGGTCAGGCTTTAAGACGTATGGGGGATCTTACTCACGTGCCTACACGTCTGCGAGTCCTCTTTCTCCTGCTGTAACTAGGGCGCTCAGTCCCTTGTTCTAGTGATAGAGATAGAGATTGTAAGGTTCTAGCATAAGTAAGTCCCCCGCTCTCAAGTAAGGAAGTTCAAAGCAAGGTTAGATGAGAAGTCATTCCCTTAATTCCCTGGGGATTATATATTGAAAATATAGTAAGTAAGTTTAGATTAAGCCAACCCCATCTCAAGATCGAGGTGAGACCGATCCAAAGATCCTAACCCTCAGAGGATGAAGTAACGGGAAATAATGAGAATTGTAAACCAGATTGATGATTCGAAGTGAGGGACAAGCCTGTGGTCGCAATGCCGCCTCCACTCCAGCCTATCCTAGGCTTTTTATAAATAAACTTTCACTGCCATATACCCCACCCGTCCTTTATTTTTATGCATTTAGTGGATTAATTATTGTACTAGGATAGCATTATCCATCCCTGGTTTGTCTCCCCGGAACGATGTGTCTGCATGGGCGAAATTAGCTTGTCAAGGTTTTTATTACTTATATTAAATTAAATATAAGGAATGGTCTTATCCTGTTGACAAGGATTTTCCCACTTTATAGGCAGTATTGCAGAGGCTTATTGGTCTTAGCTGCTTCACCGAGGATGGGCTCTGACACTTTGTGATCAGCACACTAAAGGTTTAGTTTAGGCTCGGGTCCATTGTGGCACTTTTTTAAAGTCTTTTGATCTATCGAATGAAGACCTCTTGGACCCTAGCCCAGTTATTCTGACAGAAATGAGGATGTAGCCCAGGGGCCTTTAGAGACCCTAAGGCTTTGCCTACTTTGTTTATCAATTTAAGATATGTGTGCTGAGCTTGGTATCTGCAGGTCTATCGTGAGTGGCGCTTCTTTGGCAAAGGCTACTCCCTCCAATAAAGGAGAAGAGATGATTCAAAGATTAGAGCAAGGCGGCTTACGCAAAAAGAGTAGTCCTCCCAATAGAAGGTCTCTTTATATTCAGGTGAAACTAAAAAAAAGGGCTTTTGACTAGTTTTTTTGGTTGGAGAGACTAATTAAACTAAGGGATATTTCCTATAGCCGCCTAACTGGAAGAAAAACAACCACTGGCTTAAGATCTTGTGGGCTTAGCACGCCCCTGTGACGATCGATCTTCAAGCATTGGGCAAATACAAATAAATGGATGGATCGTCCCCTTTACTTGAAAGGGAGGAGAGTTGAACTTGTTGCATGCATCCTCTACTATGAAAGCTTACCTGGAATAAGGAATAAAAACCTGATCATCTGCTTTAGCATAATTTCGTTTCATTTTGAACTCGTTTAGGGAATTGATTGACCGAGCCCAAGGGGTTCAATGGGGTCTCAGGTAAGCCCCTTCGGGCCCTTTCTTTAATACAACTTTCTAGTGCGCTTTTTGGTGTCGGGTGTTATACGGCTTCCTGCCTCTGCTTGAGAATGGACTGATGGAAGGGCCTGTTCTGGAACTGGAAGTAGCTTAGGGGCGGAGAATCGAGTCAAAGCCTATTACGCTTCTGACTTCTTCTTTTGGAAGGCGGGAAATTAGCTCTTCAAGTTCGGTCCCCTCCATCCGGTTCCGATTCCGATCTGTCGGATTCATATGTATCATGGGCTATTTGCCTTGGTTTAGGGGCCTGATTCAGAGCAAATCACTAATGTCGAAACTCTCGCGGCAAAGCCTCGTGGTTGGGACTTCTTTGAATTTACCGAGTTGAACCAGTTAAGGATAAATTGCTTTTTAAGCCAGCTGACGTAGGGGGATAGAGCTTTAAAGCCAGTTACCTATATAAGTTTATTAAACCGCATTCTAGCAAGTTCACCTATTGTGAATAACGTAGGTCTCTACCGGCTATTACCACATTGGGGGCATCCCCTTCTATTGAATCAAAAGGAGAATCTTATTATACTTAGTGAATTCCTTATGCCCTGGGTCTTGGAATCAATACAAAGAATTGAGCCTCACTGACCACTCTTTCAGCTTAAGCACCTTCCTATTCCGCCGGGCAGATGTTGGAAATAGCCTTAGTTCCAGCGGATCCAGTCATTCGAATCGACTTGAGTTCTCACTAGGCTTGAGCATTCCATAAAGAAGGACGGACAGGTGAATGCTAAAATGCTTCTTCTTCGCTGCCTCACTTCTTTACAACAGGAGCTGCTTCCTAATCGACATCGGTCAGCACCTTCCCCCCATTCCTTAGTCTTAGCTTAAAGGATGTTGATCTTTCTTTTATTTAAGATACAATCTGTAAGTAAGTTACCAAAACTTTTTGTGTTGTAGACGGCGAAGAGTCAATAGAAATAGAATAGGAATCCCTAGAGAAGAGAGTTCCCGAAAGGAGACCTGTTCTGGAATTCAAAACTACTAAAATCACATCCGATTTTAGCGGCAACCAAAGCTACTTTTGAACCTTTCTTAAGCTCAGAGCAGAGTAGCTGGAAGTCAAGTAGAAGAATGAGCGACCAGGAAGCATAGATAGCAAAGGCGGAGATGGTACTTTAACAGTAAAAGGAGGATCATATGCTTATAAAATGCAATTTGAAATCACGTACTTACTTACCCCGGGGTTGCCCCGAATCCACTAAAAAAATAGGTAATGTTGGCGAATATTCTGATTATCGAGTTTCAATTCGACAAGTACCAACAGGCCGAAAAAGACGAAAAAAGGGCCTTGCATACTCGAGAAGTCAATAGCAACCACTCTTACTGATGATCTTCTTTACTTTACCGCGGGACCTTAACAAGGAAAGTAAAGAAAAAAAAGCAAAGCTATAAGTAGGCTCGCTATTGCGAGCTATACGAGCTCTTTGCCTTTATACGGCTTCGCTATCGCTCCTATTCGGAATCGGAAGAAGTGAAGTGGTGGGCCTTCTAGAAGCTTCGCCAGAAGCAAGCAAGATGAGGTCGCTCTCCTTCGCTCGTTCCGTACTTGACTTACGAGCTCGTGTAGTACTCGCCCCTATCTCTCTCTAAAGGGGCTTATGCACTCCACTCGTAAGGAAACTACTAAACGAGCGTTAGAGCGAGCGAAGCCTTCCATTTTATTTTCTGGCTTCCCCCCTTATCCCTCACCCTACTCTTTCATTTCCGCTGAAGCTTCCCCTGTTGTTTGTGGGATTAATTGATTGGATACCCGAGAACCATAATCTTTACTAGGAACTGCTTCTACGACGATAGGCGTAAAGGCATGATTAGTTCCACAAATCTCACTGCACTGACCATAGTAAACCCCTTCTCGTTGTACCGAAATAGAGATCTGATTTAAACGACCAGGTACAGCATCACATTTGACACCTAAGGAAGGTACAGCCCAACTATGAGGTACATCAGCAGGTGTTACAATAATACGTATATGACTTTTGGCTGGTACAAGAACTCTATTGTCCACTTCTAATAAACGTGATTGACCCAATTCTAGATCATCTTCTGGAATCGTATAACTGTCAAAAGTGAGTGACTGTTCATCGGAACTGTTATAGTCTGAATACTCATAAGTCCGATACCATTGATGTCCAATAGCTTTGATAGTAATGGCTGGATCTACTACTACCTCGTCCATTGAGTATAACAGAGCAAATGATGGTATAGCAATGAACATCGGGATGATACTAGGAAAGATGGTCCGAAGAATCTCGATAGTAGTTCCATGAACAATCCTTTGCGGGATTGGATTTTTTTTATAGTGGAAATGCCATAAAGCGCGAACCAAGATCCGTGATACGAAAACCAAAATAAGAATTAGGAAGAAAAAGATATCGTGATGTAAGTCTATTATTCCTTGCATCATAGGTGTTGCTGCGTCTTGAAATCCTAATTGCCATGGTTCCGCTGCATCACAAGGAGCAATCGTGAGGAATAGCCATTTGCTTTTCATTTGCTTTGGTTCTTTAACTGCTCTGCTCCCCCCAACAAGAGGAAAGACTTCTTTGTTGTAAATCGCTGGTTGGGTTTACCAATCAAGAAAGACATGGGAATTTTGGGAACAAGCAAGGTCCTTTTTCTGAGAACACCAACGGAACACTCTTTTACCCACACTGACCAGCTAGTGTGCAATGACGACCGGCCCGCAAGCTACTCGATTTTCTTTTCTTAGCTGCTCTGGATTCTAGATTGACTTACAAATGATGTTTTCTTTCACAAGGTAGCGCATCTATCTATATAGCATAAGCGGACAAAAAAAGCTGTTCCCGTAGCGTTACGTAGGCTTAGCTTAGCCTCTTTCTCTATCTACATTTATATATGTAAATATCACCAGTGGACAGCGAACAAAAAGATGCCCACACTAAGAAAGCAATCCAATCAGTGCGGTCAGTCCAGTCAAGGACTTGACTTCGGTCGTAGGTTGAAAGTCAAGAAGTAGCTGCTGCTCTCCTATCCTAGATGCACGAATGAGGAAAGAAAGAAGCAAACGAGCCAGGGAAAGAAAGGAGAGATAGTGCTTTATCATACAATATTTGCCCGCTCTCAGTCAATCATGGAACGATCTTTCCCTTCCCCTCGGGATGTGCCCCATATTCCCGCAAGCCTTTTTCACAGAAGAGGAGCGAAGCCACAGAACGAACTCTTCCAGATGAGGATGTTAGCGAATAGGCTTTCAACTAATCTCTTTTCTTCCCAAGGCTAGCTGTCCATTGGTCTTTTTGTTGTCCCTTGTTCTCATTCCAGTCTCGGTCTAATCAGTGCTTCTTCCTAGCAGCTATTGAATCCGCTCTTTCGTAAGACAAGAGGAGTAGAAGGGATAATCACCCAAGAAAGCAGTGAGCCAAAGAAGCAAGGGGACAAAGGGTTGGTAGCACGCTTACGGTCTCATTCCAGTCATTCTGGACAAGACAGTCGGAAGCGAGCCAAAGGGTCGGCTTTCTTTCTCCTCTTTTTAAGAAAGAAGTAGCAGCTACTGTGATCATATCTGCTGTTCGCATATCCGCTCAAGCAAGCCTGTCCCAAGCCCAAGCCGGCCAAGCAGTTCAGATTGAAAGACGGAAATTCCATTTTTACATGTCACTGAGCGATCTCCCTCGTATGGCAATGCCAAAGCAAAAGAGTAGAGCAGCGTCTCAATCAAAGGAAATGAATTGACCAGATCGATGGAATTGCACGATGCCGAGTTCTCTCCTTGTCCACTACCTCTGATGAACGAAAGCGATCGGACAAAGGCAAGATATCTGAGTATATAAAGAGAAGACCGACCTTAGCCTATTGAGGCAAGATCTCAGCCGAACGAACTTGTTCCGAACCACGTACTCGAGCTTTTTCTATTCTTGACTAGGGTAGGAATAATAGTAAGCTGAGCTGCCTATCTCGCTTTGAGCGCTACCTAAGCACTGTTGAAGGCACTCAGAGAAGAGTTGAAATAGTCCTAGATAGGAGAGGGCTTATCACTAAGACTTTCGACTGACTGCCAAAAGCTCCTTCTTGTGCGCTAACGCTGGAAGGGATGGTTTTTGGTGGGAGAGAGACCACTGGAAGACTTACTCGTTTAGATAGAGATAACAGAGCTATACATAAAAATATGGAACTCCCCAGGCCTTCACTAAATGCATTTCGCTTACAGTCACTAGGAAGGGGTTTATAGTAACGAAAGATTCCTTCTATAGGTAGGCTTTCTCATATTCTTTTTAGTTATTTGGGTCTACCATTTGGGAAAGCAGGGGCAAGCCGGGCATCATGCTTTCCCGGGGAGATCGTGTAAATTTACATAAAAGTTTACTTCTCGCGCATTCGTGCTTGCTGTGAAAGTGATCTTCGTAATCAAGAGATGGGGCTCTCCCTACTTAACTAACAAGCAATGGGGACAAAGGCCTCGAATCCTGTCTTTGACGGTGATCATAGCGTGTCACGCTGGGAAACTGATCGAATGTTTTCTGTCTCAATGTCAGTGTGAAAGTCCTAATATCTTTACGAGGTCGAAATAGCATCACAGAAAGAGCAGCCGGAACCTACTCCCAGTTGGCCAGCATCAAAGCAGGAGCTTCTCCCGATGACACTACTAATGTGGAATACCAAGTGCGAAGGTTATCCATTTATCTTTCTGTCTAGCGGTACTTTCTGGAGCGAAGCTGCCATCAAAATCATAAAAAAATAGGTCAAGTAGCCTTCCACCGACTCAACGGATGGAGAGAAGCGCGCAAGAGCCGGACCTTACTTAGGCAATGCCGACCGGCACTTCAACCACTGAAATAGCAGTTAATTATTTAAAGAATTCTCAATGGTGCCAAAATATCTCAATAAAGCAGCTAGGCCGTTTTCCTATCTCTAAAGGGGCTTACTCATAAAGGGGGCTTTACCCTAATGCAAGTAGTCTCTGCGGCTATACTATATCAAATAGCCTAGGGCGCTACTGTACTAGTTTTTGTCGGGTTCTTTGCTAGCCAGACACCTGTCAACCAACCATCCAGTTACTATAAGTTCTTTCGCAAGCAAAGGAAAAGACCCTTCCGGTGAGATCTGTAGCGCAGCAGCCAACCGCCTATTCTAGTAACCTAACGTACTGGCATTCAAGCAAGCGCAAGCATGAGGCCGCAAGGAACCCAGAGCCTGTGAGTGAGGTACTAACCTCCTCAAAAAGTCAAAAACAGCGCAGCGCAGCGCAGCAGAAGAGCCCTGCTCCGGAGAACCAAAAAGACGGAGCAAGCAAAGCTCTTTCCTGTTCAAATAAAGCAAGCGGTTAGGAATGAGCTTCTGCGCCTGAAGTCCCCCCAATTAGCTAGTTGTCCCGTCCGTCGTCCAATCCCTCACTTCTTTTGTGATAGTCCATTAGTAGTCCCTACTGAGCAATCTAGCTGCAATCGAGCTAGCATTGAAATGGAAAGAGTAGAGTTAAAGTAGGACGAGGTCTGCCTTTACCCTTCCTTTTACTAGGAGTGGATTAGTTAGAGTCGGTCCGTTCCCATTCCCACCCAACTATAGCTGAACTTGCCCGAAGGAAATGTTGGATCTTCTTGCCGGGAAAGAGTTTGGTTACCAAGTTCAGTTACCATAAGCGGAAGTGCAACCCTTATATCTCCGATATATAGGATATAATGTCAGTTTAAAATCCATTTGGGTAGATAGTATGGCTTGATAATGTCAAGTTAAGGCTATCGCGAAGTAAACACAGAATTTGTCTCAGCCTTGGTCCGAACTATGGAATCAGATTTCCTTTTTCAAGAAGAAAGTAAGTTCTTTCATACTAGCTATTTGTAGCCGCCCTATTCAAATAAAATTAAAGGGCTAGAAGAGGTGAAATTCCTTTCTCTGGGTTGGGATTTCTCATAGCGGTGCTGTAGGCCGGGGCTTTCCCCTTCGGATAAGAAAGCACGAACCATAGATAGAAAAATAAAAATTAGAATGAGGATTTCAATTCCCCTCTACATCCCCTCGGGAAAATGTGGTTATAGTGATTAGGAGGGATTTGATCTCAGGCGCTAAAGCCTTTCTTTGAACCTTAGACTCATCTCTCAATCCACTTCTTCATATGTACGTGTTGAATTTTCTCCGGATTCAAAACCAAATAAAAAGACGTCCCGATCGATAAAGATAAAGATAAAGAAGCGCGGCAAAAGGCTCTACAAATACTCACTAATTAGATAGGATAGGCCCAATCACTATTAAATCCTGGAAGCAAGCATTCCGGCCAGTAAGACAACCAAAACTATGCTTCCCAAAAAGACTGCAACGTTCGGATTACTTGACTCCTGCTCACCAGCACTATGACTACTGCTTGCTTCAATAACTCCCGAACCATCATAGATAGCAAAAGTCATGTCACTCCCGCTCGGCGAATCAATCGCAAGTCCCAACCCAGAGAAATCAAAAGGAAAAAGAGGCAGAGTGAAAGGAAAGGCGGATTGACTAATTGGTTGAATAAGTTCCGGAGGGGAGGTTAACAGAAGGCATGTTCCCATCCATAAGCAAGGAATTAAAAGGCCCATAATATCTACTAACGACTGTGGTTGGGGGGAAGATGTAGGAATCGAAAAAGTCTTAATCTTCCTCAGATGATGGAATTCCGGGCTTAGGTCCCCGCGCAGGGGTGATCTTTCTCAGACCTCTCTCCGGAGACCGTAATAAAGAGTCTTTGCTTACATTATAAACGCGCTTCACTCCTTAAAAAGAGTTAAGAATTAAAATAGGATTCATTACTTCACTGCCACGAACGTTAAAGAATCTTCCCTCGAACTTTCTTTCCTTTTGGTAAATTCTGACTACGAAAGGGCAGTTTTTCAAAGACAGAGAAGGAAAGAACTAAAATAACAAGAAGATAGACTTTTCCATCGTAAAGTGAACCAAGAACGGAAGTAACTTCACTGGCTGAGCTGACAGGCTGATAGGATTGACTTTACTCGCTCAAAGGCAAATCGCCAACCAACAGAGATAGAAGTAAATTCCGCCCTTTAGGGGCCAGTCACTCGATCTAAGAAATATAGGCCCTCAACCAATTCCTCCTAAAGTATTTTCCCTGCGAATAACCTGGCCTGGATGCACTCCTGTTAGTCAAAGGAGGGGCTTGAACCCTACTATTCAAGTCATCTACATAGGCTTGAAGGATGACGCTTCTTTCTCATCGGTTTTTTTTCGGTCGCGTTTAGATAAGTTTTTAAGGCCATGTTTTCACTTTTCTTTCAACTCCGCTTGGCTTGGCGATCGCTCATGGCTAATATAGGTAGGTCCAGAGCTAGCTAGTGTTCAGAAGTCACTTAAGAGATTGAATATGGGTCCTATTAGAATAGGCCGTAGCCGCAAAGAGATAGAGATTCGCATTGCGGGAAGGGAACCATAGCAGCTGATAAAGGCTGCTGGTGGAGCCGGAGAAGAACCGGGCTAAGGGCCAAAAAAAAAGGCCTTAACTAAGTACTAAAGCTGCTGGAGCGACTGCCTTCGTTGATTTCCCACGAAGGAATCGTAATCTCGCTACTTCCCCTTTCTGTCCTAAGCGGGGGAGAAGTATTAAAAACCTTGTGTGAAGGAAAGGCTGTCAAAGTCGTTGACCATTAATCCGGTTGAAGGACAAATGGACAGTGAATCAACAGAATCGAGTTGTTTGCAGGATAAGGATTCGGCAGTCGAGACATCTATATCTATTTCATTATAAGAAAGAGAGGAAAGGATGCAAGCAAGGAAGCGCTAACCTATACCTATACGACTGCTATTCTTATTGATATTGATCAATGCGGGCTAAGCTAAGGACGTGCATGCTAGGGTGGAGATTCTCTCTTTCAGAAAGCGTATGTCTTCACTCTAAACACCGTACACGTACAGGTCTTAGTTCAGTCGCATCTCAAGAATCGATAGATGGAGGGCTTTTTATTTTAAGTAGGGCGCCCCCTCTTTTGGTTAAGAGGCATCACTACCTTATTTGCAGGTTCGAATGAGCTAGCTTTATCTGCTTTCTGAGGTGTGAAAAGCCCTTCTCAAATCTCTCATCTCCTGGTTTCTAAGACCCCTAGCAAGCATCGCATCGGAACCTGGTTCCGGTGGAGGAGAAGCTGCTCTTAGTTAGAGTAGGCTCCTACCCATCAATTGTTATGGCAGTCCAGTCAAGGTTGAGCAGTATCTTTAACTGGGGCTATCAGAGGTTCCCTTACTTACTAAAGTTCTACAAGGTGTAATGTTCGGAGATCCGGGAATGAAAGACAGATTTCTAAGGATTTTGAGCCTCACCTCTTCCGTAAAGGCAGGTAGCATAGGTGTCCGTGGATTCTTCGGCTAGGCGTCCATCCACTCTATCCGCATTATCCGTTGAAATACCATCCGAGGAGCTTCACGTGGCGGCCCTACAAGCATGGTATTTAAGAGAGGCCCTAAATCTTGTGTATGATTGGTCGACAAGGTCGATGAAAAGGGCCCTTGCTACTTATTGCTGTTGTGAAAATGCATCCAGGATAGTCTCTGATCAGATCTCCATGCGATGCGGCATTCTGACGTTACGACAGGGCAACTTCGGGCAGAACCGTCAAATCCCCACCGGTTTGCAAGACCATTTTGTTTTGACCAATTCATTCCGGCACCCGGTCTTTCCGTCAAGCGCGTCATCTTTAACCTTTCGGAACTGGCGGGGTACTGGGCACATATGATGAGAAAGGGCACCGGGGCTGCTTTCGTGATAATGCCGGATGACAGAGAGGGCAAGATGGTCTTGGAATATGTCCGATGGTGGACGTTTTCTTACTTATCGCAAGGAATCAACAAGCTGTTGACATTCAAAGAGCAGCAACTCTCTGATCAAGAAAGAGTTGGGAGTCGAAGTCCTCCTCCTCCTGAACCCACATACATATGGACCCATTTCCGAGCAGGGGCTGCCACCCAGATCATCGCAACATCGGAAAGGTCACCAGCCCGGGCAGAAGCAAAGAAACCCGGACCATGAAAGGAAAGGGAGGTTCAGCACCCGTCATCCTGACCGTCCATTACCTTTGAAAGCAATCCTTACCTTCACGGACCCTCGTTTTAAGCAGCGCAGCACCAGAAAGAGTCAAAGGTACCACACGAACGGACTAAGCAACAGGGTCCGAAGGAGTAGTAGCGTCTGGTGTGGGAGCAAGGAGTAGTTAATGGAAGGACCATAAATATACAATAAACATTAAGAGCCTGACCACCGAAGCATTTTCATTACTTTCCACAGAAGAGAGCATCAACAAAGTTCAATACACAAAGAAAAACGACTAGTGGTATGTAAGTCTCTTCAAGAGTGAGCTTGCGCTGCCGTTCCACTTAGGTAAAGACCATATCCCTCTATTCGGCTTAGGCGTATCGGGAGTGAACAAGCAGAGCAGAGATTCATATATTATTATTATCCGATTTCTTTTTCTGGTCTTGCTTGTGCCTGTTGCTGCTCCTGGTCTTCCCATTGACTTCCGCCGAATACGAAAGGTAAAAAGCAAGTCAATCTATTAGCCATCTCCCTTCGGCTCCTCTTTAGATCGTGGACTCGGGCTTCTTAAGTTAAGGGAAGCACTTCGTTCCACTCGTTCTAGACATACTCTAAACTCCTAACAAGCAAGAGAAAGAAGGAAAACAAGGAGTAAACAAGAGCTACAACAACTAGAGTGTCAAAGGAAGGGGTGCTAGGCCAGGAGGAGGCAAGGGAAGTTAAATTTTTGAAGCGAAGCGACCTAGTCGAGTGTCAAGTTAAGCAGTTCCTCTTGTCGAGCTAGACTCTACTCGCGCTATAGTCGAGGAAAGCTCGCGCCTTATTCGTGTTAAGCTGTCGAGTTAACTAGACTCGAGGAACTAATCCTTTAGGCAACTCCTCCTCTCTGAGAAGAGGACACTTACTTAGTTCAGTGCAACAACAAAAGAAAGGACCCTTACCCCTCTATATCCCTTTTTGGGGGAAGATCAAACTCTTTAACTCAATCTACTACTACTGTTCTCACTCATTGACATAAGTAAAAGCTACCAGTTCCTTACTCAAAGAACTCGTACCGGTACTCTTGAGTTCACAACCCTAACTTAGATTGGAGTAGAAACTCGATCCTACTAATTACGTAGAACCATGAACCATCGATCGAGTGAGTTCGAGGTGGTTCATGCTTTCTATATAACTCGCTGTACGCTAAGGCAAAGGTTGTAACCATGCGTCATGCGTGCCGTAAGCGGGCTCTGGTGGGGGAACCCGTAGGAAGGGGGGACGACCCGCCGAATTCACATCAGAAATCGCCAGAACACAAACGAAATCTTGAATTGCGTATAGAAATAAAAGAACCACTTCTATTCTCGGAGCTGAGGTATATGAAGAATGGCTTTTTGGTCCCTTTCGTCCAGTGGTTAGGACATCGTCTTTTCATGTCGAAGACACGGGTTCGATTCCCGTAAGGGATGGCTACTCTTTCCCGGCCGCTTTCAGTTAGTGTTCATTGCTGAGTGATCGCTCGCTATCTGGCTTGAAAAGGTGGTCCGGAAGCTTTCTCTCTCCCAGCAAGCAAGACGAGATCACCACTTCTCTCAGTAATGGACTTCCTTTAATTCTTCCTTAGCCTTAGATGTCCTATCATAGATTATCGAACCTCCGACAGACAGAATCCCCATGCATGCGTTCTTTCTCTCCTCCCCTCAGCCATACATCTCTTTTTTTTTCTTTTGGCCGTTTTTCTTAGGCATTGAACCCCACCTTAGGTGCTGAGTGGTGTCCTCCCCTCCCTAATACCTAAAAAAAAGTTCCGTCTATGGAGCTTAAAGCTTAAACCATGGCATGCTTGACTCAGAATTGGCAGCAGTAAGTTGGCCTAGTCTCTTGCCCAGCCTTCGCCTTCTTCAGTGGCCAAGTTGAAGCGTTCAACGGTTCTTCGGCCTACCACCTTTCTTTTTCAAGGTTGAGCTTGTTCAATGGAAGCTAATGCTATGCTGCCCTTCCCTTGTTCACAACAGAGAAGGCGAGGACTTTCTTTTAGCTACCGGCCCAAACAAAAGAGATTAGCCTCTTGATCGATCGATTGATTGGATTGCAGTACGAAGGGGTTTAAGAAGGAGGCATTGGAGAGAAGTAGGCATGGTGGCCAACCAAGGCAGTGAAATCGAGACAATCAGTCAAGTTAGGAAGAGGGTTTAGTTAGGAGTCCGGGTTCCATCCTATAAGTTGAAGGAAGGGAGCAAAGGAAGTTCTCTTTGCCCTTAGTCTTGGGTTCAGTGAATAGGGAACTTAGGTTTGTCTTATTCCCTAGCTGAGTGAATAGGCCGATCTTTCGTATAGTGATAACGCTTTCTCTTTCTTATAGGGGTCTCTTTTCTCTGACTTGACTCAGCTTGACCTACTTGACTCAGCGGTTAGAGTATCGCTTTCATACGGCGAGAGTCATTGGTTCAAATCCAATAGTAGGTAAGGCCGAAAGCCCTGCTTTTGCCAGCATGACAGCAAGCACGGATTCCGACTGGCGGAGTTGAATGACCAAAGCATCGTCCGCATGCGAATCCGCCATTCATTCACTCTTGCTACTGTTCTCGAATAGGCTCTTTCGAGTTCAGGTTTGAATGAAGGAATAAAATCTTTTGCCATTTATCTATCTAGCTGGCTCGCTAACTGCTAGTCTTTCATTGGAAGAACTGCTAGGTTTTATCTTCTCCTATGGGGAGAACTAAGAGGCCTAGTCTTCTTACTCGTATTCTATATTAGGGCACTCTTTCTTGGCTTGGGGAAAGATCGTAGGCAAGGGAAACCTCGCCAACCCATTCTCTCGCTCCTTTAGATAGCTTTACCCTAGCACTTGAACTGGATTGGATAGGACTTCAACTAAATAGGGAAAAAAAATCTTTCATTTTCTTTCTAGAAGCTCTTTTTTTCTACCCTTATAACTAGTGTCACTTGCTTGATCACTTCGGTCGGTGATGGGGTTATGCCAGAGGGACAGCAATCAATTCACCGGGTAAGAAAAGTACCGTTACACCTACCCTTTTAGTATGACTAGACCCAATTGTATCACTATACCCAGAACTAGTTGTCTACCTAGGGATATGCCATTTACGGGGAATAAGAAAGGAGCTAGTAAGAGATTGTGACTTCTTACGCCAATCCTAGTACTACTTATTAATTACTGCTATAAATATTCTAACGGGTAGAATGATTAGCTCTTAGACCTGTTCAAACTCTTAGACAGGGTAGGACTACTTTTTAAATGATAGGCCTTTAACTTCTTTGCTTGGTAGCTCAGTCTTATAGAATATGCTATAGATTCTCAATACATCTTTCCTTTGCACTGAAAGCTGGCTAGCCTAAAATATCTACTTGAACTACTGAAATGGGATCTAGCCTTTGGGCTTAGTTCAGAGTTCTTCTAGGCTTCTTTCTTAATCAGGAAAAGCCCTTTACGCTTTGAGCCGGGTATGAATCAAATAAAAAAAAGTGAATCCGGATCCTTCGCCACCTTCTCTCCTTGGTTCTGAGATTGTAAGGATGTCTGCCCTCCTTTCTCTTCAAATTAAACCGGCATACTGAAATCGATTGCACTAAGGGGCTTCGATTTTGCTGAAAGAAGGACTTCGTTGAAAAATAGAAAGATCTTGGTTACATCTCGCGTACTTGCCCATATTACTTATATATGGGGTGACCCACTTCTACTTACGCTGATTCCAAAGCTGCTCCCATTCCTCAAATATAGGCAGCAGAGTCAACCCCTCCTTCGGTCGGTTCATGAGCTGCCAAAAGCTAACTCTACGCTCGGTAGCTACCGGAGTTGCTTCGCTCCCCAACTCGTTTAAGTCAACTGATGCCATGGGTCATTCCCTTGTTTACGAAACTGGGCTATGAAAAGCATCGAGAAAGAGGAGTGGAAAAACTACCTTCCCAGTCTATCGGGACTCTACCTATACTCCCTTAATCCCGTTCCTTCTAGGCGAGTAAGGGCATAAACTTCTATAAAAAAAAAAGAAAGAAAAACTCACGAAGAAAGCACCGGTAAGGTTGTACCTAAGCCTAAGGGCTGGCCTTTACTGGATCTAATTCCCTCTGCGAGCTACCGGATCTAATGCACCATTCTTCGGCCTATTACGAACAGTTTCGATGTACCAGATCGTCTTGTCTTTCATCAATCTTCGGCAGGAGTTTGATGCGGGGATTCCCAGCTTTAGTGGGCATCGCCCTATACTTAGCGAAAGAACTTGATTTAGCCCTTCCTTGATCAATCACTTTCAAGCTGTTACTTCTTGCTCTTCCACGATATAGACTCCAATGACAATGAAATCTTTATTTCCAGTGATGGATTCCCTGTCCAGCGCATCTCCTGCCCAATCTGCATCGGAGTCTCCTGTCATCTGAAGGGAACTGGAAGATGGGAAAAGAAGACCTTTTCCAGGTGAACCCTTAAGATATCTGAGGATTCTGTATGCAACATCTAGATGTATCGTTCTTGGTTTCTGCATGAATTGACTCACGACTCCAACAACATAGGCAATGTCGGCTCGATCATCTTTATATTGGCAGGAGGAGGTAAAGCATGAGTGGGTAGGGGATTGGTAGTGACATTGGAACGCTTTGCCCTTGGTGGCTCAATTTTCCCTGAATTAAGAAGGTCTTGGATGTCATGTTTCAGCCTTAAACATCGGTCAGTCTTTTGGCCATTTGTCTAAAGGTACTTGCAGTAGGCATGGGCTTTGTACCTAGGAGGAAGAGGATCTGGTGTTGAGCGAGATGGGGGAAGAGGCGTGAGTACACCATGCTTTTGAAGCCTTTCCAAGGTGCGGCTGAGAGTTATGCCTAACGGAGTGAAAGTTCTGGGTGTCTTTGGCTTTCCGTCAGACAAGACATTGACTTCACTGTTCTTGCTTCTTCCTCCCAGGGCTATCTTCTTTCCTTTTGGATCCGCCCTTTTGACCTGTGATCCATGAGTCCCATTGTAGATTTCAATACGGGTGGTTCAATCAATCATAAGTGGTCATCGCTTGGAAATCGAAATAGTCATGGTATTGCCTACTCATCTTACTGATCATTATACGAACTTCTGCCCTTTCTGGGGGGAGACGATCAGCTCATATCTATTTATATTTTAGAAGAATTGATTCTTTCCCGAGGGGAACTGAACTCGCTCCTTACCCCGGCTCCACTCCAGACCAATCCCCTAACCCTACCCTTTTTCTGAGAATCATTCCTTCCCCACCTTCTGCCTCCTGCTTTACTTTCTGACTGCGCCGCTTTAATAGAATGCCAATGCTTTTCCCCTATTAGAGAAAGCCGGAGAAAGCCCTCTTTTAGAGATGCTGGTATTCGTAAGTCAGCCGGCTACTAGTCAAGGTCTTCGTTTTTCAAGAGATTTGTCATTCAATTGATTACTGCTAATATCATAAGAAAGATAAGAACTAATTCTGCATTGAATCCTTCGTGCGGGCTCTGGTTCCCCGTAGCCACCGTGGACCCTCTCTCGGTTAGGGCCTTCCACCTTCTAGTTGACTCCAAGACTTTGATTTAAGGCCTGGAATTGTGGACACAGGGCTAGGGCGAGAAGGTTGGCACAAAGAAAAGAGCAGGACCGGTACAATTAATTAAATGACTTGGTCTATACCTTACAGGAAATAGCTTAAAGTGCACTAGCGGTGCTGCTTCTGTCTTTTCTCAGTTAGGCGAAGCAGGGGCAGAGAGTTGGATTGCACCGAAACGAAAGCAATGCGCTCCCAAGGGCATTGCTTGGGCTCTTCCTTGGGAAAGAAAGCTCCCACATCCTCTGCTGTCTCGCATCCATCGGGATGAGTCTTGCGTCTGTCTTCTCTTCGTAAACTACCTGTCCTCTCAAAAGCAAGTAAGCCAACTACCTTCTTTAAGGAGTGAATCACATAAGCTAGAAAGAATCTTCCTAATGCTCCCATGTCCGAATCCGTACTTTTCTCTCTCTAGCTGCTGCAGTAGCAGGCACGTATCGAAGGAGAAGAGGAGGAAGAAAGACAAGCAAGACAGGTGCGGAGCGGGGCCAAGAAAGTAAGTAAAGGAGGTAAAGGCATTCTTTAAGAAATTACCAGGTCCTTATATAGTGTCAAACCCTGCCCTAAGGCAACAAAAGGAAGTGACATTTCCTTGCCTTAGGGCACTAGTAATTATTTCGTTTACTTGTTTTCGGTGAGATAATCTTTCCTTTATCCGTCTAGGCCAGGTGCATGACTTTCCCCAAGGCATATTAATGATTGCCCGCTGTAACCCTCTCGGCATAGGCCGGGCCGCTTGAGAGCTTCGGTACATCTCTTTCATTCCGATTCCGATTCCCGGCCGGTGAGACTCTTCTGGAACTGTTGGATTAGTAGCTTTTATCTCCGTAAGAACACATTTCCCCACAGTAGACGCGCGGAGATGAGTAAGACTTCAAGTTCCGTTATTACCGGGTGCAAGGCTGATAAAGAAATGAATTGAAACCCGAATCAAGATCAATGCGTGAAAGAGCAAAGGATTCTACATCACAGGGTCAGGCCTATGCCGAGAGATGAGACTCTCCGTTCTTTAATCAGATAAGGATGCTTTCCATGAATTGCTCCAGCTCTGGTGCACACCAGTTCTCTCTATAAAGATAATGTTCACTGGAAAGCAAAGACCAGCTAAGAAAAGAGTGAGCTAATCAAGGTCGGGGCGGGTCTCCTCGGCGGGAATACCAGTCCGAAAATAAAGTAATAGGCAAAAATAAGGCTATTTTAAATAATAAGACTAGCTTTCCGTACTGACAAAGACTCTTTTACCACTACTATGTATTAATATATAACCAAAAAAGAAGGAAGAGAACGAAAGGAGAAGAGAAGTCCACTTCCGGGACGGAGCCCTACATAAATTTAAGCATCAGGAACAAGCAAAGATGCCACCGGTTAAGAGTTGGAGATTGTGCTTCATATTCTTTATGTATTATCCATTCATTCGGACTTCGAACAAGCCTTAGGTTGAATCCCGACATGGGCGAGTAGGGATTCCAGGACAGTTTCAAGCAGCTTCTTCGGGCTAGGGCATTCGATTACTCATTCGCTTTGTTACGAAATAAGTAGCAAGGTGCGAGATGCGCAGCCTTTGATCCAATTCAGCTTCAAGGGCCTTACCATCCCGGTTAAGGAATGACAGGTCTACATTATTTCTGGTCTACCCGCTGCTGAAGTGACGGAATTGTGCATTGTCCGTATGTCATCCCGCTTCCAAAGCCCGATCTTTCTCTTCCGAATCCGAATCCGAATCTGGGTTCGTCTAGCTTTGCATTGCTTGCCTGGCTTAGACTGGGTTAATTTCCCCCCTTTGGGGGCCCCATACCTTACTAGAGCCCCCCAACAAGACCACAACTCAATTAAGTCCGCCTTCTGTCCTCCACTACCAAAAGACGTGGAGACCAGTTTATCTCGTCAGCTCCTTACCTAAGGTTACCTTCACCTCACTTCCTTGAACTCGCTTAAGGAAATCCCGAGCTCCAATCAGCTCAGCTCCAACACTCTAAAATAGTAGCTACACAACAACAAGACAATTGGGCCTACAGACCCCCACGACTATTAATAAAGCACTGCTCTTTCCTAACATCTACCTAACCAATTCCGATTGAGCGCGTTAAAATGCAAGATGGAGGCCTTTCTGAATGAAAGGAAGATCATCCCTGGGGATGGGAAAGAGATCGGCAATTAGCTCAGGCGGTTAGTTAGTTGTAATTGAGTAGGCAGTTCTTCTCTTTGCCTTTCAGCCGGCTAGTCCGCTTATCCCTCTGTGAGCGGGGATGGTGATACAGGAAGTGTTGTGGCTTTGGTGGAAGGCTGGGAAGATCCTTGTTTGGTAGACTCTCTTTTAGTTTGGGACGATCTTTCCGGTTTAGGAATGAACTATGGAATTCAGTCACTCGGCTAAGAAAATAACTAACTTAAGGCATTGAAAGACGTGAACCAAATCATTTAAGCGTCCACGTATTGGCTTCGATTCTGGCAGAAGCGGGATGGCACTCTATTACGTATATAGACAGAAGAGGGCCTAGCTGGCTTGACCCAGAGAAGAATGTTGAGTTGAGGAAAAGAAGCCTTCCCAATTAAAATATTTTCCTGTCGATGTAGTCTTTTCTTCTCTGTCCTGCTCCGAAGATAAGCTAGAAAAGGGCGAAGCGGAAATTGAATAAGAATAAAGCTGGTAGCGTAGATTCAGGCTACCCTACCTAGTAGCTAGGATTCCGTCCCTCCCAGTTCACAGATGTAGTTGCTTCTACTGATTATCATCGAGATTGGGTTGGTGTGAAGTCTACCGCTAACAAATAAATTTAATTTGTGTAGCCTATGCGAAGCGAAGAAGCAAGGGATTGAGCTGAAAAAAAGAAAGCCTCCATTACTAATAAAGGGCTAACGCGCAAGGGGGGGCTTTTCTTTTGGGTACAAGATCGAAAAGAATGCCCGTATGTCGAGAGACAGGCTTTTTCGAGAAAAGGTCCCATCCTTCAATCTCATGATTGGGTCGACCAGGCCAGATCATGAGTGAATAGAAAATCGAAAACGTACATAGCTGTTCCAGCTGAAATACTTGGAATAATTCTACCACTTCTACTAGGAGTAGCCTTTTTAGTGCTAGCTGAACGTAAAGTAATGGCTTTTGTGCAACGTCGAAAGGGTCCTGATGTAGTGGGATCGTTCGGATTGTTACAACCTCTAGCAGATGGTTTGAAATTGATTCTAAAAGAACCTATTTCACCAAGTAGTGCTAATTTCTCCCTTTTTAGAATGGCTCCAGTGGCTACATTTATGTTAAGTCTGGTCGCTCGGGCCGTTGTACCTTTTGATTATGGTATGGTATTGTCAGATTCGAACATAGGGCTACTTTATTTGTTTGCCATATCTTCGTTAGGTGTTTATGGAATTATTACAGCAGGTTGGTCTAGTAATTAGGGGGCGGCCGTTCGGTCGCCTATGATACTAGGACCAATAGGTCAAAAATGGGTTTGTGCCGCAGGTGTTGAACGATCTACTCTACACAGGTGTGGGCTTACAGGGCTAGGGCTCATAAACCCTTTCTTTCATTCAAAAAGAGGGCCCTGGTCGGTCACTTTTCCGGGCCGGGATCGATAGATAAGTGGAAGTCATAAAAAAGAGATCTTTCTCTTCGCACCTAAGATCAAGAGGAAGGGTAGCTTGTCAAGCTGGCCTATATAAAATATATATATATTTATACATATTTATAAAGATTCACTGTCTTTTAACCGGCTGTTCTTCTTTGTCAACGCTACTAAGGACCTATGGCTTAGCCTACCCTACTAATGTATTGTATAGTTTTTTAGAGTATAGTAGGCGAGCGAGTTATCGAAGACGCTTAGGCTAATAGAGAAGAGAGCGTCAGTGCGTAGCCTTCATTCTACTACGCTACGCAAAGGTTACGAAGTAACTTAGCTCGACGTTAGGAGAGTCAAGGGGGAAGGCCATACCTACATAGAAGAACCGCTGTTCGCTGACTTTCTAAGGTCTAACCTTTCGCTCCCCTACTGAAAAGGGGCACAAAGCCGCTTTGCACCACTGATAGACTACTTCAGATTCAATTCAAAGGGCCCTACTTAGTTAGTTTCGCAAGCCTTTGTCATTGTCAGTCAACTAAGTAGGTCGTTCCGCCCCCTGCGAATCCGTAAATCTGAGGAGCATGCCGCAACACAACAAAAGGATGGTCCCCTATGCATTTCATTCTTTCCGGAAGGGAAAAAAAAGAAAAGTACCCCCATCATGGTGAACCTCTCCTTGTGATCGGGATGAGGTAGATGCCTCCCAGCTGGGGGGCGGATCGAATCGGAGTTTCCTTAGGTAGCCACCGACCTACAGTTATCCTTAAACTTCCGTGCTTGGTGGAGAAGAAGCGAACAAAGGTACGCTCGCTTGCTGTCTTGTTCTCTGCCGCGAACTGGGATCGCTCGCCAGCTAGGTCAGATTGGAGCAAGAATTTATGAGAACATATTACCCATCTTCGGGGACAAGGGGCGGAACGACCTCTCGATCTGCTTACTGCAGCCCAGGAATAAAAACGTCGTCTAGGCTTTCCTTCTTGCTCCGATCTCCCCGACGCCTAGGACGTTGTCTGGGCCAAGAGCCATAGTGAATTGCTGTTTAAATTGTTTTTTTCTTGTTGTTGATACCGGCAAGACCCAGCCAGATGATGTCTGCTGGTTGGTAGTGAGAGGACTCGTAGTACCTGCATACCCAAAAGAAAAGGAGGCGCTGATTAAAAAACAATAATTTTTGATTTTCTTACTTTCCCTTAGCAGCGGGAAAGGAGTCTATCTATCTGCCTAGCTTTGGTAGATTTTCCCCAACGCAATCCATAGAAATTCCACGAATCCCTTGGTGGATAAGTCCGACGACTCAGCAGCTGTGCGGAATTGAGTTTATCGTCTGGTGGATCTGATCTTTAGGGGTCAATACATACCAAAAGGTGCTTTAGTGATCTTTGATGGTCTGAACAAGGAACTCTGTGTGGGGATCCATCTTGTTTTGTTGTTATTCGCATTGTTCACCTTGGTCGGAAATCAGGGTGGTTGTTCTGCGCTTTATATTTTAAGCAAGCAGCTTCATCCTTGATGATGGCCTATGGTGGTGATGAATTCGTTCATCCTGACAATGCGGTACCAGTTTCTCTCACTCGGTCCGGTTACCCTCGGATCATTCCGTCTCATCATAGGCGTATGATTCTGAAGAAGGATGAGAAAGCGGACATGCTGGTGAAGTTTTATTAAAAAAGATTCTCTCTGTCAAAGATCATTACTTTGGCAAAGAAGGTTGATAAATCAACGTTTTCTTCAAAGATCCCCACCCGATAAGATTGACGAGGTGGTGGGGCTGGTTGGTTCGATTAAGGAGAACTTTAATCGACTTATCAGTCGCTATGCTCCCTGGATAAAACGTATACCCCTTGAACAAGGCTTACGGTTTGAACCTGAAGAAGAGTTTTATTTTCTATTTGAATAAAGAGAGTATCGCAATTGTTGAATCAATTTAGACTGCGTGCGCTCCTGCTTTCAGAAAATAAGAAAGGGCTTTCCTTCCCTACTATAGAAGATTAAGTCTAGAATGCCACGCGAACTAGAGAATAGTCAGCCCCTAGAATAGTTATAGCTATCTCTTTCGATGGAACCATTCCACTCGCTCCTTTTCTATCCTCCTATAATTATTTATCTTCGAGTCCGGTTATCCGTCTTCAATTTTGAAATGGAAGTCCTTTGCTTTAGTTCCTGTAGTCAAGCTAAGGCTCTGACTCAATCCCTTGTACCGCCATGGAGGGTGTTCTTCTTCTATCTGAATAGAATGTGATTGCCTGATGAAAGCGATTCCAGGAGATCCTAGCATAGAGCTTTCTTTCTTGTGATGAAATGGATTCCAAAGAACTTGAGGGTAGGGCTCTCAAGTAGAAGGGAAAAGAAGGTTGACTTCCTCTCTTTCTTTGCATCACAATGAGTAGGCCGGGACAAAGCCTGATTTCAAAGGAAAGGGCCGGTCAGTCAAAGGAGGGGATCAGCTCTTTTCACAAGCCGGAATGAAGATGAAGCTTACAACGAGACGAGAAAGAAAAAGTCCATCTTCTAGACTCTTCAATTCACTTCTTTAGTAAGGAATTGTTTTCACCTCGCATGAAAGAGCATTCCACAGCCCAGTCGAAAGCTGCAATAGATTCGACCACATACTGGAAGGGGATTGGTAGAACTGATAGGCCTTTAGGACAGGACCGACTCTTAGCTCGTTGGAGTGCTATTTCAGATCTTGGCTTCCTAACTACTTTGAAAGGAAAGACCCTAACCTAAACCTAAGGGCAAAGCCTCTTTCAAGAAGAAATTTAATAGTGATGGAGCTACTCACAAGAGAGACCCATGCATACTAGGAAGAATAACCTGTTAACGAAAGAGAAAGAAGAGAAGAAAGCAAGTACACGATAGCTATAGATAGCTCTTCCATCACCCTATCTAGCACCCTATCAGAAAGTCCTTTGCTCAAGCCAAAAGGGATCAAGGAAGTACGAGCTAGTAAGATGGTTAGACCCCCCGGGAAGAACCCAGAGAAAGTACCTCTACAACAATAGAGATTGTCCATACAAGGACTTGAGCAGTTAAGCCCTTCCTAAGTAAAGCATAAATCAAGGACAATCAACAAAGAAAGAAGAACTCAGTAGCAACTCTTCACTTCGGAGCAAACTACCCGGGATAACGACCAAAAAGAAGGGCTGCCCAAGCACCACCTTGTGATCATAAAGATTCATATCCAATAAAATCAAAGGAAAGAGTACCTTAAAAAAAGAACCTTTAAGTATCCGGGTAGTACGCCTGAGTCGTACAATTTCGGCGATTAAAAAAGGAGTATATCCCTATCCCTTAGTGTCTTTCCACTTCCCTCGTTCAGGAACAAACCCTTCGCCTAATTCTTTTGAATCCGAATCCCGGCCCGGTTTTTCCCCACTAACCAATTACGTTACGACCACTGAACAAACTTGGTTGACGAACATGGTTTATGCGCCGCTAATGTAGCGGCTTGTCGAGCATTTGACAAACTCACACCATCCATTTCAAATAGGACTTGTCCCGTGGACACACGAGCAATCCAACCCGTAGGATTTCCTTTTCCTCTTCCCATTCTTACTTCTGTAGGTTTCCCGGTAATAGGGATATCTGCGAAAACTCTTACCCATATCTTACCATTTTTTCGGAATTGTCCGCTCATAGCACGATGGAAGTGTCCGATTATAGCCCGACGCGCTGCTTCAATGGCTCGATATGAAAGACGACCAGCTCTACAACTTTGAGTGCCATATCTTCCAAAACCAAGTTTTGTTCCGTCTGGTTTGCAACCCCTACTACATCTGCCTTTACGATATTTACTATATTTCGTACGTTTCGGATATAGCACGTCCCTTTTTTTTTTTACTATATGAAATCCACACTTTGACACCTGAGATTCCGTAACGAGTAGATACTTCCGCAGAAGCATAATCGATTTTCTGGTTAAATACATTACGAGATGTTTTTCCATACTTTCCGCATTCAGTTCTTGCTATTTCTGCGCCTTCTGATCGACCTGAACAACATATACGGATCCCCTCAACCCCTTTTTTCATTACTAATGGAATATCCTTCACTATTCTACTTAAAATGGAACGAAATGATCTTGTTTTCTTTCTAAGTTGAAAAGAGATGTCTTGAGCAATCGGAGAAGCACTTTGATAAACAGATTTGATCTTGACCGACTCAATTAAGGTATTAGTCTTTGTTCTATTAGACAACAAAGATCGCATTTTTTTCACTTCGTTCAAATAAGAGTTGTACCCGTACGGAATTCTTCTGTTTCTCAGTATGATCTCTATCATCATCTCTATTCCCTTTATCCATTCTCCTATCCTACCTAGGTCTATGAATTTATCTATAAATTCCATTACCTTATCCTTACCCATGAGGTTCCAACATTTTATCCTTAATTGACCTAGGAGTGGTTCCCGGGCATCCTCAAAAAAAAGGTGATTATACATCCCAACTCTATCCCTTGGAAAGAAAAAGGTAGCACCGAAGAAAGGAAAGAGCGAGATGGTGGTTTTTGTTGTTCCCGCGAAGCGAAGATCATTCGCCAAGCGAATGAAGTGGGTCAACCTCTTCCGATTCCGATTCCGATTTTTGGCTTCGGCCAAAGACTTTTTCTCGCTGGTCGAGCTTTCTACAAAAAAAGCGATGCGAGAACGTATTCTCTTATCTAAGCTTCTTCCCTGCGCATTCGCTCCCCCCATCGTAGATGGTTCAGCCACGCCCGGTGCCACGAAATGATTGAGAACTACGACGGGGTCGAAATGAATTTTGTTCTTTCTATTCAATAAGTATTGCATGACCGAATAATTAAAGGAGGGGCGCACTGCAGGGAGGGTCCTTTTAAATAGATGACTGCGGGACTTCTTGGGGAAAAATAACTTTAAAAACTTACTTTTTCTGAAGGAGTCGTCATTTTCTATCAGGAACGCTATGTCATTTACAACCCCGGCGTCTTTCGGATGCTTGAAGGCCCCGCTGACCCGAAGTGATTTCGAAAGATTCTTCTTTATCGATGGTGATCGGTCATGGTATCCATAGCGTTGCTTCTTTTTCGGCCAAATCAAAATTTCGTTTTGCTTCTCATCTTTTTGCTTAATGGCGTCGAGCCTGATCGACTCGACTCTTTTCCCTGCCCCCCGGCCTCTCACTTCGTTTCGTTCTTCTTCTGTATTGTCGCTGGAATGAAGACACCCGATCGGCCCGACTTTCCCAAATGCCCACCACCGGCCCTTCTCCTTTCCGGGTCTGGATTTTTCGCGTCGTTTCAGTCGTCGTGGTCGACGGGGAAGAAAGAAATGAATGAATGTTCTTTTGGGAAAATGTATAAGAATACACCTACCGAGACGAAAGCCAAAGGTGAGTCTCGCAGGTGGACGTATCGAACCGAAATAAGATCTCAGATTGACATCTTGATACACTAATTTACCATAATAATAAATAGAGTCAATGGTGACTCCCCAATTGGTGACATAGGGGGAATAGCCGCTTCTTTCTTGCTTTATAGAGGGGCTTCCATTCACCAACGCAGACTAAAAGTGCTCTCCGAACCGTGCTGGATAGTCACCCATCACACGGCTCTCAAACCCAACCTGTGTCCCTGGAGACAAAGTAAAAGCGCTTGATCCTTTGCCCCATACTTTGAGATGCTTATCCCCGCCGAACCCTTCAAGCAGCGACGCTGCTCGTGATAGGCTTAGCTTTAAGCCGCTATCGTTCGGTTCGAATAAAATAAGTCAAGTCCCCTCGGTCGGTTCGCTCAGGTGGTCTTCCCTTATCTTCTCTAACGTTCAGAGTTGTTCTGGTTTAAAAAAGGAGCACCGGCCGAGCGCCCTGAATGAATAAGAAATGGATAGCAAAGGGAATCAATGATTCTTATTCAACCGAGTTGAAGTTAGCAACATGTCGATTACACACCGGAGGTTGGTAAGAACTGAGGGACAATGCCCCCCTAACCTAGGAATAAGTGGGCCTACCAGCGAAACTACTGGTACTGGATCGGGGGTGGGGGGGGTTGGTTTCGTGCAAGGCCTTCGCAGCAGGAAGAGGCAGTTGTCATTTGAAAGGAAAGGCCCTTCTGGTTGTATAGGGTTCCAAACCAGACTGAAGCACCCTGATTCAAAATTTCTATGTTATTAGTCAAGCGCCTAAACTTATTGAAAACTAAAGCGCTAACGCTATAAGAATTTTATAAAAATAGCAACCTTTCGCCTTATAAAAGAAATAAAAGAAAACAAGTTTACTTACTAAAAAAATAAAGCGGCAACAAGCACCTTCTTTCTCAAAGTCAAGTTTCTCGCTTCTTGCTTTAGAAAGATTGCAGCGTTAGCGCTTCTTGACTAATAACATCATAGAAAGTCAAGGCTCCTCTCCTTTTCTACGAATCTACAACTCTCTTTACTGAGCGAGACTCCATCCATATCCCTACTAGTGGTTATCTTTCAAATTTTCCATTTTATCATTTGTTTGACAGCCTAAACTAGGCTCCATTTTAGATAGGTTTTCGGTCTTAATAAAAAAAATAGGTCAGGGGCGCGTCGGAACGGTCGGTGGCTGCTTAGTCTCATCCGAGAGTCTAATCTCTTTGTACTGCTTTTTGATTTTTCAAATCAAAAAGAAGGGGGTCGATTTAGGCTCCTTCCCTTCCACTGCATAGCTGCGCTAGCAGGTACTATGAGCCCTCTGTCCCACGCATCTAACCAGCTCGCGTGGTTCACCGGTTCCACCGAAAACTCTCATTTGTTGAAGCGGAGCATAGTGCGCTTTAGGCGCCGAGCGAGAAACGTCTCTTTCTTCTTTCGTTTCGGTTTATTCACTGATCTGAAACTTAGCACTTGTTTTCTTATTGATTCCAGGGGCGGCGGCGTTCTTGAATGAAGTCTATCCGAACCTAATTAGCACTTCTCAGATCAGGCTAGGCCTCTCCAGCGGAGGCTGGGCGCCGGGGCCCTGGATGCGCTAGCGATCGGCACATAGGGGGTGGTTGCCCGGGTTTCTCGGCCTGGTATCCTGCACCTCGCGTTCATGATATCTACATTCAACTGTGCCCCGGAGACACGGTCGAAGCACGCCCGCCCAGTGTGCTTCTTTCACGACATGCTCTGGTCCCGGGTGTCTTCCAGTGGTCTTCTAGCCTTAGAAGAAGTCGTGTCCGTCCCGGACATCTGCAACGTCCTCCCACGCTTTTTTATTCAACAGATATATAGGACAAACTTAAGGAAAAGACTGACCCATTCGGTGACTTTCGCGGTCGCCCTCACTAAACCGACTTGAATCTGAACTACGATTCAGATCGAGTCTTACCGAAATCGGATTTCCTTTTCGTGCCATATGCGCTTAGACTTTATTGACTTTTTCCCCTTTTTTCTTCCCGGTTTAATATTTGTTCTCGAAAGTCTTCGTTTCCGTGTAGAAGCAAACTCTCAAAATTGTTGACCAACCTTTCCTTCAATGATAGAGGCAAGAAAACTTTCAGGCTTACTATAACCAACCTCACAGATCCCACTCCATCTTTTACACCGATGTATCGTACTCTCTCGACCAGGTCATCATAAGAAAAGACTGCTAAATCTTTCCGAAGTGAGATAAGGAGGGAAGGCGCGCTACAACTAACATAACAGCCAGCTGAAAAACGCTAGCTAGCTAGGCTAGCTAGCAATGGCTTTCTCTTATAGGGGCTCGCTTCTTCAAGCTCCGCCCAACCTATACAAGGTGCTGCTCGCTTTCTCTCAGCCACCAGTGGCTTATGTAGTGGTCGGCATTCCTACGTGCTCCTCTTTGCCCCCTACTTAAGAATCCAAAGGTCACCTTTGGCTGTTGTCTTGACGCTTTGGTTACGAAAGTAGCCGGGGTCTAGGTTTATGGATGGATTTAGTCAGCGAAAGTCCCTCAAACTCAATCAATATCAACAACATGTCGTGACCGGTTAGGCTTGGTTTATTTTGTCAGAAAATAAAGTAGGTTTCGGGGGTGGGTTCATTGATTAGTACACCTCCGGTGCTGATAAGGTCGGGACCGTGGTCGTCCGTCTCCGGTTTGCCGGCCGATAAGATTTCTGAGATTGACCAGCCAGCTGGGTTGGTTTGGCTATTCCTTTCTATTGAAAAGAAGGAGTCAGCTGTCTGCGCGAGTCACCTTCTTCTAGGCTCCGCTGGACGACACGGCATTCTCGTTTAAAGATAGGCCGGCCGCACTTGTGATGGTTCCCAAAGATCCAATATGACCACTTAGGTCTACGTTGCCACGATATTGTTCTATGGAAGCGGGCGGGCTGTTAGAAGTTCGGCCCGGTTTTTTTTGGTGTCGTAGGGGAGGGATTGACCTTTTTAACGCATATTCAGTCGTACCGGCATGGCCCCACTGATTTCTTTTCGATCGGAGCATCAAGCAGCGCAACCCGGTTCTACTTGACTAAGCCCCGTGCTCGTCCAGGGAGGGAGTTTGCTTTACCCAACTCCCTTTTTGATAACAAGGCAGAAAGCCCCGACCCGACATTCATTAGTTTAGTTTCGAATGAAGAATGAAGAGTGCCCTGCCCCAGCAAGCACCTACTCCTATCAAAATGAAAAGCGTGACTTTACTAAACAAGCAAGAACAGCTCTTTACTAATAACATAGAAAGGGCTGTTCTCGCTTCTTGCTTTCTTCGCATGCTTGAGCGCATTAATATAATACATATAGCTTTACTTTAGTTTTCAATAAGGTAGGTTTCTGACTTAGTGCTTGTGCTAAGGAGCGCTTTAGAGCAAGAAAACGGATGCAGCCCTTTATTAGTAATGGAGGCTTTCTTTTTTCAGCTCAATCCCTTGCTTTGTTCTATAGTAAGGGGCCTTTTCAATAAGGCTCGCGTAGGGGCGCTCACGTTTTTTGGCTTACCTAAAATCTGATATTTAAAAGTTGGTAAAGACCCACCCCTTGTTTCAGTCAGAATGAGTCCCCGGGACCCCGGGACATTGGCTTCCGCCAACAGTGGACTATTATATATTATATATTAAATTAAGGATCGCATCCCGCGCATATTCTACATTATAGCCTGCAACTGATTCAGCTTCCGCTTCTGGGAGATCAAACGGAGCTCGATTAGTTTCTGCTAGACGAGAAATGAAGAACATAACCAATACAGGGAACAAGGGAATACCGGACCATATCTGCTTTTGCGCCATGACAATCTCACTCGAATTACGGGGACCTACACATATTAGTACAGTATACCGGGGTCCCCGGCCAGAACCACACGTGCAAGTTTCCCTGCATGTGGCTCGCCTTTCCTATAGGGCTTTCCGAGGCGCTGCCTGTGACTCAGCATGGGAGAAGGGGGCACTTTCGTGTTTAGAGCATTGTCCGAGTGAATAGGCAGCGCCTACCAAGCAAAGCTTTCTTGAAGAGGCTGGGCTGGTTCCTTTTCGGCGCCCGCATTTTCTTTAGATGTTGGGGCAAGGCAAGCCCCAGGAAAGTATAGGTTGGCTCCCAGCTCCATCTCGGCCGGCATCCTGCTCTTTTTTTAGGGGGTGGGGTCCTGGAGCTAACTACTCATTGCTTTCTTGCCCCAACCCAACCAAAGGCCGGGCCTTGGGTTGGTGAGGAGCATTGTTTTGAGGGAGAGGGAAAGCGTGGTTGACAAGCCACTTCGAGGAAGGAAGCGACTGGAGTGCTTTCATCAAATGATGCATATGGGCTGAGCCATTCCCATCCCAAGTGGTGGCCCGATTCGGCCTGGCCTGGTCGGGAAGAGATTCACATAGATACTTTTGCTATCCGGGAATCTCTTTCTATGTTAGCTAGCGGGGGCGGGCTTTCCTATGATAGTCCCGCTGCGGCCTCTGACCGTCCGTCACGTCTCATCTTGATTTGGCTATACTTATCTTTATGTAGCCAGCCATGTTAGCTTCACATGAGAGCCCTTTTTTTTAAGGCTAAAAAGGCACTCATCAGTCAGCTCGGCCCCTTTCCTATTCAGCTTTGCCGCCTATAAAATAATAAAAAAGGTCCCCTTCAAGCGGCCCCGCCTTTATTCATCTATACCAGCTGCCACGCACGACCCAATCAATAGGAACGATTTCAGCGCCCCTCTCTTCCTAAGAAGCAGAACGCGCCATCACCTACAGCCCTTTCCTCTGCCGGGGACTTCCACGAAATTAAAACGGGCGGCATCGTCGTATGCTCGACATTCATTGGTTGCCCTGGTTTATATCCCGGAGTACTCCTATGGCCGATCTGTCACCCAACCTACTAAAAAACCTAAAGGCTTGACCCCGTCCCGTTTGGAGAATGACCCTTATGGCATGGCTTAGTCAGTTATTCTCGCAGTTCAGATAAGATTCGGACCGCCACTTTTCTGAAAGCATGGTTCTTGCCTTCCTCTTTCCTCCCTCCTTGGAGCTCGTCCATTCGTTAGGTGATCCCTTGCTCTCACGTTCGAGTGTTTGCTCGTCGTTTAGGCCGGTGAGTTATATTTCTGCTCATTGCAGTCACCTCCGGGGTTCTTCGCACCTGGATAGTACCAGGACCCTTGTGCCCCGGCCCTTGATCAGATAAATCCGCCCGCCCTATGACCAAAAACTAACAATGAGCCTTGCGACGAGACGCGGACATTCCCCATGCTGCGGTTCCCTCCGGTCCGTTCCCGGGTTGGGTTAGGGGAACATCCGAGCGATTGCCTTCGCGGATCCAAACGCGCTCACAAGGCGCACAATAAGAATAAGACCAATAGAGACTTCATAAGAGACCATTTGAGCTGCAGATCGTAATGCTCCTAGAAAGGCATATTTCGAATATAGAGGAGTGAAAGTTCCCAACAATCAACGAGTTGATCATACCCTTCTTTGAACCGTACGAGCACGTCCTCTTTAACCCCCCCCCGCGCTTACGGCTCTATACCCCAACCCAACTTGCTCTGGCCCCCGGTCCTCCCTTTATCTTCCTCGGTAAGCGGACCGCGGGAGCATGAGGGGGGGCGGTATCTGCTTTTGACTGATAGAAAGCATCTCTCTTTTGTCCCTCCTGACCGAACCCGAAAAGAATCACTTTATGCCACTTTGTACACTTGAGTGTAGGCACCTTCTTTAAACGTGCCAAGCTGTGGAAGAGAGGTGCCAGGGGAATCAATGCTCTCAGCTGAAACAGGGCTTGAAGCCTTCGAAAAACCTGTCTGCTCTTTTATTCCTATCGAGTGGCGTCAACCGGACTGAAAAATAGAATAGCTGATCGAGCTCTTTGGTACGCGGCTAACCTTTTAAATGGAGCTGTTCTTGCTACTCCCATAAACTTAAAAGGGTGGGTAGGATAAGGACTCTTATCATACAGCTCTTTTTCTTGCTCTTCTGGTGTCCTTTTATTCTCTCTTGGCCCGTTGCGCCTTTTTGACCAATGAGAGTCCAGACTGGAGCTCATCTGATTCATTCTTCCGTTTACTCATTCGTCAGTCTCGTCAAAAGCAGCTGAACTCAATCCCGATGGCTACCATTACAGTGTCGATTGGCATTCCGCTTCTATAAACTATATATAGACTACAGATGTGACCATGATTCTATCTTGGTGAGAGTGGCGTGACTTGAAGCTGCACGGAGACCATTCCTTTTCTTGCTCTTTTTTGAGCTGGATGTCATCTCGGCATATCGGTCGGTCGGTTTAAGATGAATCCGGGGGAGGGATAAATCCTCCATTGGCCGTTGACCTTTGATTCTCTTCTCTGAACTGCTCTGCTCTTAGGCTAAGATTGAGTTGAATCCGCTTCTCTTCCGTATTCCTCAGCTCGACTTTCTGTTGCCGAAGCTGTCTTGAAGCCCTTTCTTTCCGGCTTCCTTGAGTCAGCTCGGTAGCTAGTCTAGTAAAATAGCCTTTCTTCTCTTCCCTTAACTTAAGAGGGGTTGCTCCTTCTTCTCGTCCACTCGGGAATGAAGCCTTACCTTTCGCTACTAACCTTTTAAATGGAGTTGAGCTGGCTACAAAATCAATTGCTTCAGTGATGGTTGCTTCATCAAATCAAATATAGGTGGCAGGGTCAGACTTTGAGAAAGAGTCCACTGCTGTCCAGTCATAGTCAGTAGGAGCAGCTCCGGCTCAGCTCGATCCAATTTTTTAATTGCACTCTGGCCTTGTAGTACCCTCGCTATCCTCTGTTGGTAAGTAGCCATTCTGAACTGAGCTTGCTTTCTTAACTCTTAAATTAGGTCGAAGTTGGTCCTCAACTCTTCTTTTCTTCGTTGGAACCCACATTTTAAAAAGTTCTGTTAGGTTCTTAGTAGCAGTCGGCGACCTTTTATTCTTTTACTTCACATATCTTTTCGTCTCCTTGATAGCTGGAAGTTCTCCAAAAGTATGAAAAGCTGGAGGACTTTGTACCAGCCATTCCAGTGTGGTTGAATTTTCTTCAACAGCCCAAGGAATGTTCGCCCTTGTTATGTTATTTCCACTGCTTGAAGTGATTGTTACGACCACGAAGAAACGACGAATCCCAACTACGGATATATAAGAGCCAAAACTGCTAAGGGCATTCCATCCAGCGTAAGCATCTGGATAATCTGGAATGCGACGTGGCATACCCGAAAGCCCTAAGAAATGCATGGGAAAGAGGGTCAGATTAACCCCGAAAAAAGTGATCCAAAAATGGATTTGACCTAAAGTTTCAGGGTATGTCCGACCAAAGATTTTACCCACCCAATAGTGAAATCCTGCAAATAAAGCAAAAACGGCTCCCATAGAAAGTACATAATGGAAATGTGCAACCACATAATAAGTATCATGTAGAGCAATGTCTAGCCCAGAATTTGCCGGGACTATTCCAGTGAGTCCTCCTATGGTGAACAAAAAGATGAAACCCTACAGCAAATAACATGGGTGTTTTGTATTGTATCGAACCCCCCCACATGGTAGCGATCCAACTAAAGATTTTTATTCCAGTGGGGACAGCTATGATCATGGTAGCTGCGGTGAAGTAGGCACGGGTATCAACGTCTAAGCCCACAGTAAACATATGATGAGCCCAAACAAGAAATCCAAGAACACCTATACTGATCATGGCATAAACCATGCCTAGATACCCGAAGACCGGTTTTCCCGAAAAAAGTAGAAACGATATGACTTATGATACCGGATCCAGGCAGAATGGGAATATACACCTCTGGATGACCGAAGAACCGAAAGAGATGCTGGTATAAGATGGGTCTCCCCCTCCTGCGGGATCAGAAAGGTTGTATTAAAGTTTCGATCGGTTAATAACATTGTAATTGCCCCTGCCAGTACCGGAAGTGATAATAAAAGTGGGAATGCTGTTACTGGAACGGACCACACAAAGAGGGGTGATCTATGCATAGTCATTCCAGGTCCACGCATGTTGGAGATAGTTGTTATAAAATTGATAGAACCTAAAATGGATGAAACACCAGATAGATGAAGACTAGAAATTGCTGAATCAACTGCCTCCTCCAGAATGGCTGGTAATACCACTTAAGGGCGGATAGACCGTCCACCCAGTGCCGCTACCCACTTCTACTAAGGCTGAGCTTAATAGGAGCAAGAGACTTGGTGGCAACAACCAGAATGAAATATTATTTAATCGTGGAAATGCCATGTCAGGTGCACCTATCAGAATCGGAACAGACCAATTACCAGATCCACCTATCATCGCCGGCATAACCATAAAAAAGATCATTAAAAAAGCGTGAGCCGTTATTAAAACATTATAAGTTGATGATTCCCACCAAGAATTTGATCGCCGGGTCGTGCTAATTCCATACGAATCAATACTGAGAAGCATGTGCCCATCACTCCAGCAATGGCACCGAAGATGAAATATAGAGTCCCTATATCCTTGTGGTTAGTGGAGAACAGCCATCGGACCGGATTTGTCATAAAATTGAGATTCTTTCGTTTCCTTCCTTATCAGAGAGGGGCCCCTTCTTAGGGCTTAGGGAGCGGGGCTTCTTTATTGAAAAAGGGGGGAGTGAGAGGGGAAGGAATAATTTAAAGATGGGTGGGGAAGGTCCGGAAAGCCCTCACTTTATTGATGGGAAATTTTTATCCCCTTTTCTTTCCTCTCAACCCCTCTCCCCCCGGTTATGTTATGGAAAGGGTCAACGCAAGGATCTTACTTCGAAGCAATCTCTGGACTTTTCCCTTATCCGAACGGGTCTTGCAATAAAATAGGATTTCATATTGAGCTCCAAATATACGTTATTGGGATAGGATGGTTCCTACTAGCTCTCCCCCCTAAGAACCGCACGTGCGAGTTCCCCCGCATACGGCTCAAGTGGCGAAGGTTTGAAGACGCTCGACCCTTCTATATTATATAAATAATTAAGGCAAGCAAGGTAAACAAACCCCCACGCCTCCTATTTCTTAAGGGGGGGCTTTTCTTTGACGAAAAAAAGAAAGCCTCCATTACTAATAAAGGGCTGCATCCGTTTTTCTTGCTGGGAGAGGAACGAATCCTTCGCGCTTGGTAAGCGCTTCGCTGTAGCCAAGCTTACTGCTAGCCTATCGCCTAGAGCCAAGCTTCGACCGCGACTGCTCGTCGCCTCTGGGCGCCTTCTTCCGTCACCCGAGATCCAAGTCAGCACCGGCAAAGATCTCTTGATTCCTCGCGGCCGGGCCGGCTTGGAAGCAAGCTACCTTTCGCCTATCTCACCCCCTTTCTTATTGCGAGACCTAGATCATTGACTGTCTGGCGATAAAGAGAGGCCACATTCTCGTCGGCGATACAAACATCGTCTCCAAGAATGGCCATACCTAGTAAAGCGCTTGTCCTGGGTACACCTTCTCTGCACAAGAAAACATCACTTAGTGATGTGTTAAAGTTAAGAGAGGCCAAGAAGACAGAAAGCCAAGAGGTTGTCCTACTCTAAAGAATACGACACCTCGAACTGAGCGAAGAAAGGGTACTTCAAAGATAGATCTGCTGAAGATTGCATCTAAACAATCTCCAACAGACTTACCAAATTATAATAAGGTTAGTCTGAAGACTGAGGGGCCACCTATCGGTGGCAGACTTCAAGTCAAAAGAAGAAACCTTACTGAAATTTTATCTATCCAACGAACGGTCGGAGCTGATTAAAAGTTCCATCCATTGGAATAGACCGAAGCGTGTCCATGAAGAAATCATGAAGAGGCTTCAATACCCTTTGATTCACAAAGTGACCTATGGCGAATATCCGTCTCTTACCAGCGCCAGCCTCGGTAGATTGCGATAGTCTACCAGGGGAGCCTGAGTAAATAGACTCACCGAAGTGTCTAGACCCGAAAGAGAGTTGATGGTACTCTCAGCGGTCTCTGTAGACCATGGAGATCTCTCTTCATTCTTTTGGTCATAAGGGTATCGGATAAAGGGCGACCATAGAGGAAAGCCTGCATCATAGTAAAAAAAATGGCTATGGATGTACAAACCAAACGATTTCATGACGCAGATGGTAGGGTAGAAGATTCCTCCACGCTTTCACCTTTACGGCCTCCACGAAGGTCTCGCTTTCCAAGTTTTCTCCCAACGTACGTACCCCTTGTGTCAAGGGAGTTGAGATCAAACTTGGAAAGTACCTTGGGATCAGGTCTTTAGATAAAGCGACAATCTCCTTTATTAATTGAGACTGTCTTGGCAGACCGGTGGAAGGGGTGACTATCGATTTCAATATCGATCTGTCAATCCGTTTCGCCAGGCGAATAGCCCGACAAAGACTAAAGATATATATGAACCCATAAGTCGGCCTTCTGATCCTTCTTCAGAATCATTTTGCGATGGAAGGAAGGTATAATCTTAGGGTATCCTGACCTCGCTTCATTAGATAGGGACACTGGCACAGGTAATAAACTGTGCGACTGACTGACCCCTGCATACGCTTGCTTACAGCAAGTAGCTGCTTGTTTTAGATAGAAAGCAGTAAAAAGAGGGCCAGATCGTCGGTTTAACTGAATTACCTTTTTGGCAACGAGGTATGCTCCTATACAGAGTTCCTTGGTCAGACCGTCGGTAGCTATTATTTATTAGTCTTATCTTTTTATAGATAGATACTAATAGCCCAAGATTTTCAAAAATCTTGTGCCATTTGATGGTCTTAAGAGACAACAGTTTGTCAAAGAAATACCTGGAAGAATTCATTTTCATGTCTTTCCTTATCAGGTTTGGGTACCTGATGCAGAAGTAAGTCATTGGACTAACCTCCACTGGGATGGCTTCCAGATCACCGCCCTCAAATGTCAATACTAAAGTATAAGACATTTGCGAATCCAACCGGATTCATTTGACAAACTGGTGTCTCTTAATAAACACCAAAACTAGCCTAAACGACTGAATGTCGCATCAGTCGTGGGGGGGCACCTAGTTAACCAAACCAAAGAAATAGGACTCCATGAGGCGAACAAGGAGTGAGGTTAAACAACCAAATGTTGAGATAGAAGACCCAGATCTCTCCGGATCTGTATCTCGCTACCGATTGTTCGCCTCATGGGCAGTCGGCACCATTTCTGGCAATCCGACCGCAAAGGGTGATTCATCCCTTACACCAACTGGGTGTAAAACCCCAGTCGATGCCACCCCCTTTCTTATTATTAGTAAGATAGGTTGCCCCTTTCCCCTTTCTCTAAGAATAAGGTAAGCATCCCTCACTGCCGATCGCCTTCAGCTGGGTGAGCCTTCGCTTTTTGGATCGTCTTCTGCCCAATGTCAATGTGGTAACCTCCCGTTTTTTGTTCCCATTGGGTTTACCTTGTTTACAGGTCGACCCCGTGGCAGCAAGAAATAAAATGCGATCTTGTGCTATACTCCGGTGATCTCTTTCCTACCGAGGCACGCAAACCCCCATCGTGTCCCAGATCACATTCCGTAAATCGAAAGGGGAAGCCTACTCATCCATCAGCTCCTCTCGTAGATCGGTGCGGTTTTACGAAGCGTCTAAGCACAGTTCACTCGCGTTGATCAATCAAGAGCTTTGCCGCCACTCCTTAAGGTTACCTTTAGTATAACTTCTTGCATTCTTTCCCACGCTTCATACCCCCCCATTTCTTCTTAAGGTAAGGTAAAGGGCCAGGCATGGTGGGGTAGGAGCATTCTGCCGGCAATCTTTTTGGCTTGACCAAGAAGTCTTATGTCCTCCGAGTCGCACGGCGTTTTAACCGAAAGAACTTCTTGCGCAATTCATGCGTTTCTGTTTTTATGACCAGAACTTTTTTCTTTATTTCCATTTCAAATTGTTCTCTGGACTTTTTATCAATATGAGGTGATCGTAACACAGTATATAAGACTCGTGATTCAGGCAATCCAATCTTCCGTGTGTAAGGCGGAAGCCCCCCAAAATGGTTTTCAAAAAATGGGTGATCAAAAGATCGAATCACTATGCGTATCTTGGTGGTCGTGACTTTTGGTGGTCTTTCTTTTTGGCTGACTCCTCTTCCTGTTCTATTGATCAGAAGCATCCAGTAGCACCATTAAGTAGAAAGAGTTAAGCTACTAAGCTAAGCTGCTGTTGGGGAACTCGGTAGAAGCGATTTGCCGCTTCCGCCTCTCTAGGCTTCACAATGGCTCCCCCCCCTATATAGATAGAATTAAAAATGAGTCTTCTCCCCTCCACTATAATTATTAATATAATAAATCCGAAAGGAATTAAAAATTCCGAAGGATTACCATTTTGTTTGAGCAGGGGGCTTCGAGTCCTGTGTTGACAAAGATCAGATAGGATCCTGCTGTGATCCTCGATCTCTTCCTGAATCTTGATCAACGTTCTATCGATAATTCAATTAAAGATCGAGTCCAGGGAGAATGCTGCTTTTAAAATAAACTAATAAAGAGAAAATTCCATGAATTAGGAGACCAAATCTAATCCCCCAATCCATCTCTCATTAGCGAAAGCTACCTAGTTTTGCTGAAGCTCTGCCAGTATAGCACGCTTTTTTAGTGTCTTTATCTATATTCGCTGAACACTTCCAATACCTCACCACACCGATTTCACAGCTCGATTAGAGCAGCTCGACTTTCTTCGCAGCTTTCGAGCCTTATTTTGTCTTGCTTGCTCTTATTTAAAAAAATAAATTGCTTGAGCGGCTTTAAAATAAAATCTGACCTTGAGCATAGCAACGGCAGGAGTCTTTCTTAGTGCAATACCTTCAACAACCCTTCAAGCGTGCGGGCGGCCCTAGCTAATCTAATAAAGTTGCGAGATTGAAAGGTCCAAAGGACTAAGCTTCACCCAGTACGCAACTCGGTTTTCCGCCCGAACGACCCTAGCGTACAGAAAAGAAGTAGTCCTCTTCAAAACTAAATTTCAGTCCTAGTAGGTGCGATATTGAAGGCCTTCACGGGCTTACTTAGTGCTTGTGCTAAGGAGTTCAGGGCTAAGGGCTGGAGCGTAGGAAGCATTGGCTATCAGAACCCCCGGAGGGAACTAACTCCTTTCTTGCAAAGCAGCTTTATGAGAAAGAAGTTGTCTGTGTATTGGATCCGCTCTTCTGTTAGCATGAACATTCATTATATTCTATTCGTCTTATTTATTCTTAAGAGAACCCCCCACCCGAACCATTCTTAAGACCACCAAGCTCTCTCGAATTAGTTCTATTTTTTCTGCTTTCGAGAGAGACTGGGGGCAAAATCTCCTCCTAACTAATAAGTGAAACTTTGTGCCTAGATCGTCCTGAAGACGGATGCGACGGGAAGAAGTGGCATTTGGAAGTGTTGCTGACTTAACATTTAGGTTTCGGCATAACAAAGCTTGCACTGTCTTTTCGCACTTAGGCGCACAGCGTGCCATTGGTAATGATTCTACTACGGTGCCACAAATTCGCAAACTGATCCTAAGTAATCGTTGTTGTTCATTAGATTCCGGAGGAACTACTTCGTTAGGATTGGGGAATTGCTGCGATTCTTCCTGAATAGCCTGGATTCTCCCGTCGAGAGTAACTTTGAAAGTATTACCTAAACTCTTCCGACTTAATATGATGAAGCCTATAAAACAACGAGCTACTATCATTTCTTCATTATAGATTGAGATCTTCTTCGAACTTAATGCACAAATAGATGGAATAGCAGCAAATAGCATCTTTTTAGCTTGCATATTCGTGGAACTAAATCTTATTTAGAAAGGTTCTCTCTATCTTTCAGCAACTGAACGGGAAGTGGTTTAGGAAAGGACTTTAGAATCAATCGGATGCGCTCGCCCAGCGAGAAAGGCCCTGACCCTGCCAACCAAGTCAAAATAAAAAAGAAAGAAGAGAACGAAAGGGTTTACTTGCTTACTTGTTAGAGTCAGGAGAAAAGATAACTTCGTATTTTGGTAATTCTCTAGGAGTCATGTTTAACCTTGAATGCTATTAATAAATTCTACAGCAATAGTCCCTCGGACTCGGAAAGTTATAACGAAAATGGCTAACCCAATAGCTGATTCCGCAGCTGCCACCGTTGAAACCAATGAAGCAAATGATTGACCCATCATATCATCCGAAGAAACGGAAAATACCAAAAAGTTCGAATTCACAGCTAATAACATTGATTCAATTGGCATTGACATAATAGGAATATTTCGTCTATTAAGGAGGATTCCCCGAATACCTAAAATAGAGATGATCATAGAAAATGTAAAATATTTGATAGGATCCGTTTCGGAAACGTGGAATGGAAGAGAAATTCAAATGTTATATAGATTAAGTGACCTCATACACTATGTATTTTAGGACCTAAAATACATAGTGTATGAGGTCGATAAATGAGAAAATATCTTCGCATAACCAAGCATTTTGGCCATGTAAGATTACATCCGTATACACGGATGTGAGAAAGCCCGGACTGTCAATACGATCGTCGGAAATCACTGCCCGAACAAGGTCGGGCATCGTCCATTCGGGAGGTAATTGCCTCCCGCTTCTCCCAACCCACTTGGTGGATTCATCACAGATTTTTTGCAATACCTCTTCACACTCAGGTGGAGCGCTTTGCGCGTCCGACCTCGTCGAAGAGGTACTTGACGAGAAAGACAGACTCGCCTCGTTTTCAATAATAAATTCCCAATCACTGGGCGTTGGATTTCCCCACAGTGTGAGTGAATAAAAATTTTGCATAATAAGTAGTTCTCAATTTACTTCCGCTTCTTTTCTTGCTCTAATTTTAAAAAAGGAAGAAAGACTTCTTTGTTGTAAATCGCCAGTTGGGTTTACCAACCAAGAAAGACATGGGAAAAGAAGGATGCACAAAGGAACCATGGCAAGCTACTGGAACGAACCTAATTCAACAGACAAGAAAAGCACTTCTTACTGGCTGGGTGAAGGGCAGGGCAAGAAGCTAATAGT